AATTTGTCGTAATATAAGTCTTTTTGTCGAAGGCAAATCTTAACATGTCTTTCTTGTGCTAATTGCTGTTGACAGTATAGTACTGAATATTTTTGTAACGTCGAATTGTTTTGGGGTTTTTGTTGATGGTTTTTTTTATAAGCACGGTTTGATGCCAAACGGCTATCGCAGATGACCCTATGGCAACCGCTATAAATGTTCTCAATTTGAAATTGGAGTTGCCATACTGTAATTACTGTAACTGTTTCCCCGGAATTTTACCGTGTAATTGTATCTACTACCTTGCCTTCCTAAGTTATCTTTTGATTGACTCGGTGGTGCTGGTAGACTTTTGCGCCGAGGGTCATGGGTTTGATGTCCATATCGGGCAAACATTATGTGATGGACAGGTTTGTTTGCTCTTTGTATGGGTGTTTAACATCTATATATACAAAATTTAAATGTATTTAAGTATGTTTGTCAATACGCATAACACAGGGAATCCTAAATGGAGCCCGGATGACCATGCGTGACTTGCCCTCCGCTATTTGGTTATTAATTATTTATTTAGAACCACATTGCATCGGTAATTATTCGCTTAATATACCGGACATGTTGAATAGAGCGAAAGAAAACTAAACGTAACTAATCATTTTGCTGTAAATATAACTTTGATTCTCGATCAAAAGTAAAAAAATACAAAAGTACATAATTAGCTTACTTTGTCACACTTTACTTTGTTACACTTGTCCGCGATATACATAGATTGTCTGATCCGTATCAGAACCGATAAACATCATTCATGATAAGCGTCCTTATTCAGACACAATTTCTAAGTCCTCTTTGTAATGGAGAAGGAAGAAATAAGCAAACAGTATGAGTGCAGAATCAACGCTGGGGAATTTACGGATACCCGGTCGAGAGGGGTAACAGACCGGGTTATGTCGGATTTCGGTGACTCCAGAGAAGAAGAGGGAGAAGAGGAACACCGAAATCCTCCTATTCTCCCAATTCCTGCCGAGATACTACGTATTGAGAAAGGCGCTGCGTGGCGTCAGCTAGGCAGAGCCCATCCCGTAAAATCGACTACCGACTAAGCCCTATTGAGCCCCACCACTCCGACTTCACGAGACCCATAGGTCCACCACGGTACAGCATGGTGCGCACCTAAAGTTCGCCTTCACCGGTACCTATCTTGATAATAGGACGGCATTTCGTCCCGGGAAGATCCCACAGGACGTCGTCTCAGGAGATACACCGTGAGCCACCTTGCGCCGCCTCACCCGGTGACCGACAGCCCCTACGAGAGAGACTCATTCCAACCCAGCAACTTGCTATTACCAAGTTTTTAATTTTTAAGTAGTCCATTTTCATGCGTCCTAACTAACTTTGAATTTCCATTTACAGCACGATAAATAAATAATTTAAATGCCATAAGTAAGGTCAGCTGACACTTTGCATTTAATTACAGTAATCAGTTTTATTTTTTTAACATAAATGAATACAGAACGTCAAAGCGGATTCAATGTTAATCAAACGCGATTGAATTGAACATATATTTACATATATTTTCATTGGATCGCATAAAATGGAAAATCAACGTCTTTAATCCACTATAAAAGCTGCCAACCCCCTTGAACTGTGAGATCAAAAGCTCAATTGCGTATATTGTGACGGTTGGTCTGTTTTTCAAAAGGGAACGCCTCGTTGTTTTGCGGCAGATATGTGTTGATGTCCTTGCAGAGCGATCACAGCACGTTCGCAGTTGAAGTCGTCGTGGCCTAAAGGATAAGACGTCCGGTACATTCGTGTTGAAGCGATGTACCGGTGTTCGAATCCTGCAGGCGGGTACCAATTTTTCTAATGAAATACGTACTCAACAAATGTTCACGATTGACTTCCACGGTGAAGGAATAACATCGTGTAATAAAAATCAAACCCGCAAAATTATAATTTGCGTAGTTACTGGTGGTAGGACCTCTTGTGAGTCCGCACGGGAAGGTACCACCGCCCTGCCTATTTCTGCCGTTAAACAGTAATGCGTGTCGGTTTGAAGGGTGGGGCAGCCGTTGTAACTGTACTTGAGACCTAAGAACTTATATCTCAAGGTGGGTGGCGCATTTACGTTGTAGATGTCTATGGGCTCCAGTAACCACTTAACACTAGGTGGGCTGTGAGTTCGTCCACCCAACTAAGCAATAAAAAAAAACGCTCGTATAACACTCAGAGAATGCTGCTGTCCGTTCTCCGATTTTCGTTTGTCGCCTTTGATGATACTTTGATGGTGATACATCCATGGGAAGACATGGGAGGGTGCGACTCCACGACACAACAGAACCTATTATTGATTGCCATCTACTTATAGCTTTTGTCTATTATTTATTTTTATAGTTTTTTTGTAGACAAAAACAATACGCGCAAAATAATGTTCACAAAGCCATCTGTTATCTAGGGATCAAAATAGGGATAGGCCGATTTTGCTTTAAAAATTTATAATGTTTTAAATAAATTGCAAAATATTATATTATATAAGCAAGAATATGAAAAATTGTGGGTTAGGTCACTTTTGCGCAGACCGTCACAACTGAGAATCACAAATTCATTTCAAGCCGCTTTGATTTAGAATTTGGACCGAACGTGTTTGTTTCTATTTCAACTAAAAAGAGAGAGAGCAACGTGGATTTTTGTTGTTCACATCAAAAATACTGAACGATTTTCTTATTATATCATTGTTTCAAACTACCAACAACACAATCTTTGTGATTTAAAAACAAAATTCCATTGAATAGGTCACAGCTTGAACCCTCATTGTTATTCTGAATATATGAGTGGTAAATTAATGTATACGTTGATTTAAAATGTTTAAGTATAAATAGCTGTTTAAATATAAAACTATTCTACTACTATCTATTCATCTACTACATCGACTATTAAGAATAATATTATCCTTTAGATTTAGATTTCCTTAGAGAACCTCAGCTTTAGAGCTGTTGCTGTGAATTCTTTAGTATTCGTAATGCGGTGTTAGCAATGACGATGGGTGGTGATAAACAATTTTAATGGCTCGTGTTCTCGGGGTTGTACACCAATGAAGATGACTAAAAACTACTCGCACTGAGTCAGAAAGAATCCTGGTAACAGTACTCGACGAACTCGTCGAGGAGTTCAATTTGAAACCTAACCTATACACCAGCAAGCAGAGTTTTATGGAGGATCTTCGCAGCGGGTCGTGATTCCGATCCTTTAGTAGATTCGCGAAGAAGCAGAAGAAGCTGCGGTAGGCAGCGGCTTGGCTCTGCCCCTAGCATTGCTGAAGTCGATGGGCGACGGTAACCATTAACCATCAGGTGGGCCGTATGCTGGTCTGCCTACAAAGGCAATAAAAAAAAAAAGTTGCCCTGGAATTATTAGGTGTCCTTCAGAGGCGCTCGGGCAATTGTTACCTAATCCTATGCCCTCAAGTTGATCTCGTGGTCGCCCACCTGTCCTGGTGGGACAGGAGGGATCTCCGGGTCACCTTTCTCTTAAAAAAAAATAGAAAACCAAATATTTTCCAGCGATAAAGAACGGACCCAAACTTTGTTTGTCCTACGAATGCGTACATAAGGGTCCTTCGATATTTTTTATTCTACCACAAATCAACTAATCGCATACCCTCCAAATAAGGGATTACAATGCGGCAAAAAAAAAAGAAAAAGAAAAAAAAAACTTGCACTAGATGAGTTGGTGAGCTTATCTTTAAAGTATGGCTGTCTTCGATTTCAAATCGAAACACACTGTAGTTTTACGACATAAATAGGAAGTCTGGTAGTACCTATTCGCGCCCACTGAGTTTCTCGCCGGACCTTCTCAGTGGGTCGCGTTTCCGATCCGGTGGTAGATTTTGCGAAGCACTGCTCTTGCTAGAGCTAGTGTTAGCAACACTTTCGGTTTGAGTCCCGTGAGCTCACCTACATGTTAGGGTGAAGCTGAAATAGCTTCTCAAGGTTATCAGCATAAGTAGGAAGAAAAGAGAAAACCTATTCGTGCGAGCTCACATTATGCTCTAACACCAATGATTTCGCAATTTTTTTTTCTTCTTTCTTCTTCTTCCAGTGCCTCTTCAATCCTGAAGGCTGGCCGTTAGCTTTCTATATTCATTTTTATCTGCAGCCAGCCGGAACAGCTGTTCGACGGAGGCAATACCGGTCCACTCCCGGATATTCCGGATTTTTTTTTGGTATTTTTAAAACACTATGTTATTCCTTTACCGTGGAAGTAATTGGGATCATCTGTTATAAGTACTAGTGGTCCCCCGGTAGTCGAAATTAGACTANTCCTGAAGGTTGGCCGTTAGCTTTCTATATTCATTTTTATCTGCAGCCAGCCGGAACAGCTGTTCGACGGAGGCAATACCGGTCCACTCCCGGATATTCCGGATTTTTTTTTGGTATTTTTAAAACACTATGTTATTCCTTTACCGTGGAAGTAATTGGGATCATCTGTTATAAGTACTAGTGGTCCCCCGGTAGTCGAAATTAGACTATAATTAATTGACCTTATAAGTTTGTATACTATTATGATTCTATTGTCAAAGACTATAATATACTTCTATAAACACAGATTTCGTGAAGACTACACTTTAGATAAATATAAATAAAGACAAACAATATTTAATCTATTCTCAATTTCACCACACACTTTACGCAATAAGAAAAGTTTGACAATAAGCAAATAGTATGCTTGCGTGTGTGAGTCAAATACATGGTAGTGTGTGTAATTTTTTCTTTATTGCTTTAATGTATCTTGTATGCATTATTTAATAAAAAATATTAGCATTCTGCACTCCTTCCCTGTATTTTCTATAAGTGTGCAAAATCTCAAACTCTTCCGTCCGCGCAATTTTCGTAAAAAGGGATACAAAGTTTTTGCTTTACTTTTTAATATTATTATGTTGATTTCATTCGAAAAACTAGTAATTGATAGAGTTGAACCCTGCGGTAGTCTTTATAATAATTAACAGCTAATTTCCTCTTCATCAGATGGCTCCAACAACAGTGGTCGAAGACAGATTGACGTCTGGACACCGGCTGTCGCACCCCCCGTCTGGAGATGAGGTATACGTCACCGGAGTCTCGGGGTACTTCCCGGATTCCGATTCAGTGAAACATCTACAAGAAAACCTTTTTAATAAGGTAAGATAGTCTTTTGACAACCAACATTTGTGTTACAATTAAACTAACAACAAAAACAATAGCAATGACTAACATTAATGTTACAGCAGTTGCACAAGATGCCGCAGCCATCCAAAATTAAAAATAAATTTATTTAGACAAATAATAATAATATAACACTTTATTTAACACAATAATAATATGTACAGAGTAAGCATATAAAAAACAAATAATANCGACGAAGGGCTCGACGAGCGAACTAACCCATAGACACAGCCCACTGAGTTTCTCGCCGGATCTTCTCAGTGGGTCGCGTTTCCGATCCGGTGGTAGATTCTGCGAAGCACTGCTCTTGCTAGGGTCAGTGTTAGCAACTCTCCGGTTGAGCCCCGCGAGCTCACCTACTAACGTTAGGGTGAAGCTGAAATAGCCTCCCAAGGCTATCAGCATAGGTAGGGAAAAAAAAAAAAAAAAAAGAATATGTGTAAGAAAGTATCAAAGACATCGTCTGAAGAGAGTGAAATTAAATTACTTAATTAATTGACGACCATGAAGTCTTTACGGTTATTGTAGAACACGGCTTGGCTGTGCTGCGGACTTTGTTGATGTCTATGGGCGACAATGACGGCTTACCATCAGGTGGGCTTAAAGAGGCCTTAAAAACATTTCACTAAATACATTTACTTTTACGTATCTGACGGATTGTTCTCGGTGTGTGTAATCTTATTTTCCAGACCTTTCCAGTAAGCTTATTAGTTCTTCGTGCGAATCCAGAAACTAGTTTCTGAGTTTAATTACCATCTAGTTATGCCAATTTTCAGTGCCGTCGCGACCGAAGGATCTTTGATGCTGAAATTCAAACTCTGCACTCTAAATAGTACCGTTAAAAATATAATGACGAATCTTTAAAATGCCCTTACCAATGTTAGAGATTTATGCTTTTTTAAGCCTTTCTTCAAAAAACGTCCACTGGATTTTCGGAAAGATTTCGATTCTTTCTATATTTTGTACCGTATGTTCTATGAGGACTGAGTGCTCTGAGAAATCGCTTAAAATGATAACGTCGTCTCCTCCGCACGGTTATATAATTGGATTCTGAGCTCCTATTTACTTGTATTTATTTTTATAAAGTTTATTTAGTCTAAGAAAAATTTAATTTGCTCTTCACGAACGAAATGTTTCGCCTCAATTTTTCTCCTGTCCGTAGAAACTTTAATGGTATTTCAATGCGTATTTTATTCCTATTTCACGACTGGTTATTCTATACTAATATAATTATAAATCTACAGTGGTTTTTACGGATGTTCCGTTATAACTACTGAACCATGCATCCGATTGACTTGAAACTTGGTATCCGTGTAAAAAATACATGTACTTAATGGATAGGCTAATACTTATATGGGTGTTAGACTCCCTACACCAGTTGCGGGGGCGTTAATGATGAGAATCTTTGTGGGGTTGAGAAATAATAATGTTCATTTTAAATGCCCAGCGAAGCGGACGGGTAAAGCTAGTTTCTTTATATAAGTCAATCTCCGTTTTCCCATAACTCCGCCGCCTATTGGGGCGGAGATTGTGCTAAAACTATTGCGACTACTACTAAACTACAGAGGGTTTGCAGCGATATTGTTTAAAATGTTATGTCGATTTTTATAAGCATATGAACTCACGAGCCATTTCATATTAAATTATCAAAGAACACTTATAGACCATAGCGCGAAATATGAAGTCGTAATCTCAATTTGTAAACAACTTTCAAAAATACATTTTGGTATCCACTCGTACGGACTATATCAGCATAGTCGATTCTTTTTTTATTTATTCTTTTATTGCCCGTGTATATAGACGAGCATACGGCCCACATGATGGTGAGTGGTTACCGTCGCCAATGGACTTCAGCAATGCCAGGGGCAGAGTCAAGCCGCTGTCTACCGTTAAGTATTCCCACAAGCCTCGTTTGAAGAAGGAAATTCGCTTTGAATTGTAATTATTTGAATTATTGTTTACTAGCGACCCGCCCTCGCTTCGCTTCGAAAACTGTAATTTATTATTGATTTCTCCACTATTTAATGGACGTTATTATACTTATAAACCTTCCTCTTTAATCACTCTATCTATTAAAAAAAAAGCATTAAAATCCGTTGCGTAGTTTTAAAGATTTAAGCATACATAGGGACATAGGAACAGAGAAAGCGACTTTGTTTTATACTATGTAGTGATTATAGTATTATCTGATTCCTTGTCGATTAGGTGGATTTAATCTCCTCGGATGACAGACGTTGGAAACTGGCACACCCTGAGATACCGCAGCGGACAGGCAAGATCAACAATGTCAACAAGTTCGACGCCTCCTTCTTCGGCGTCCACTACAAGCAGGCGCACACCATGGACCCCATGTGCAGGATCTTATTGGAGAAAGCCTATGAAGCTATCGTTGATGCCGGTATGTAAATATAAAGCCGATTCGTTTGAGACATCGAACGTAGCGTGTTATTCTACCAAACTGCTTCTGATGCAGAACTGCTTTAGGACTGGAAAGATAATTAATTTATATACATATATATGACGGGGCGACGATGCCTTGGTATGCGATAGATAAATGCGGTAGATAAATACACTATAAATGGGCATAAAGATATTTAAGAAATCAGTCTTATATATTTTATTTAGAGACTAGCTTTTGCCCGCGACTCCATCCGCGTGGAATAATTACTTTGGCATAATGCTAAGTTTTACCCCCCCCCCCCACTTAATTTACGTATTATAGAAAGTGAAAATATTTTTGAATTATAGAATGTTAAAAAGCTATTTAAACCCCTATATTGAAACATTCTTTATTGGTACTCCACTTGTCTTACCGTGATGTTATATAGCCTATAATAGCCTTCCTCAATAAATGGACTATCTAAAACTGAAAGAATTTTTCAAATCGGACCAGTAGTTCCTGAGATTAGCGCGTTCAAAAAAACAAGCTCTGCAGCTTTATAATATTAATAGTATAAATTATTTTTAAAATTGCGTTTTATTTTTTAATAACAATATTGTTCTATCAAGCGGCATCTACGATATCATTTCGATCTGTTGACCAACATTCCTAATGCTGTCACCTAAGCATGCAGCTCAAAATATTTCTTATTATATGTACTTTCATTGACAACAAAATTGAAAACCTCACGTATTGTAATCAATTTCTATTCTTAAATAATTAGTTGTAAACAGTGAATCAGCTCTGCGTTATTTCTTAAAAACGCGCTCTCTGCTTATGCTAAGAGTTTTGGCATGGTTTTATCAAAAATAATCCAATAAGCCGAGTTAAAAAGCAAGCAACAAAACTCAAGGAATCGGAAAAACAATAAATCGAGATTAACAGAATGTTCCGTTTTGTATTTAAGGATATTCGTTTGTTAAAATCGCGTATTTCGGTTTCTTCTACTCGTTTCACTCATCAGTATCGGTAATGCTTCAATTTAGTGCTGTCTTCCTTCACACCGTAGTGTATAAAACTGTGGATTATCAGTTTCATTAGACCACTAATATTTACATTAAAATCTTATTGTTCTACTTAACTTGGTATGGTATTCATATGCGATGTGAGGAGAGAGACAGAACTTTATTTCACACTAAAACACAATGAACATTAGAAAATTGTGATGTGATATTCATATATGTGATATTCATATATGTGATATTATATATATCTAGACCTTAACAGCAGATTATAATCACAGAAGTCATGTTTGAGGCATGTTTACGAAGCCTATATCGAAATTATAATGAACGAAAAAGGTTTAGCTTGTTCAATACGTAAGAGGATTTTTTTTTTATTGCTTAGATGGAAGGACGAGCTCACGGCCTACCTGGTGTTAAGTGGTTACCGGAGCTTATAGACTACTACAACGTAAATTTTACCACCTACCTTGAGATATGATTTCTAGGATCTCAGTTTTTACAGTATAACAGCTGCCCTACCCTTCAAACCGAAACCCTGCTTTACTGCAGAAATAGGCAGTTTGGTGGAACCTACCCATGCCGACTTATAAGAACTCCGAACACCAGTAAAATTTTAATGCCATAGATATATCCAATACAAAACGGTGTAAATTTGGACACGATTCCATCTTATTCCAATCGAATCGACTTCCTTTCTTCTCCGTTAATGACACCAATTTATCCACCCGCTTCCCGTGAAACTCTTAAATGGATGGAAGTCACTACGTTACCAATTTAAACAGAATCACAAACAGGCATATGGGATTAATTCTGTATGTTTGATTTATCATGTATGTGATGTGCATGGTTTAAAAGTCCAAAAACCCATATTTTATTGGTTGTAGACCGTAATGCAAATTAACACACATGGGCAACACCACTATCCCGCCTATTTCTCCCGTGAATCAGTCGTGTGCTCCATTTTAAAGAGCGAGACAAATGCTATATAATACAATTAAACTATTAGCCTCACGCATCAATGGGTATTCATGTTGTGAATATCCATGTACCCGGTAAATACTTAACAGAAAATGGTAAACTGATAAAAATATTTCCTGAAATCAATTTAAGTTTTGCAACCAATGAAACAGTGTTCAAACAATAAAACACTAATCAAAGTGACAAAACAGATCGATAAAAAGCCGAAGCGATGAAGTTAGTGAACTTTACAAAATCCGACATCTTACAAGAGGAATCGTTCTGTTATCTGGGGATCCATTAAAACTTTTACTTGGAGAGGGAGTAATTATAACTCAATATTGGCTCTGCGACCATTTCGTAGTCTCGAAGAATTTAAATTTCATCGTTTTAGATCCAAACTTTCTATACGGTGTCGGTCCGACATTATGCTTCGGTTTGGCGGTGGTCGCCTTTAAAATGTCAGCTCCACAGTTTGGACTTTAGCCAGATAGATACCTAATGGTTTTAATGTCATAGATATCATCGAAGCAAATGGCGATGTCTCAACCCTTTACCCATGATATTTTGACCTTAATACGTAGGCTGCATTTAGATAGGTAGCTAACACTAGCTAGCTAGCAGAAATAAAATAAAAAAAAATTGTTTTCTTGGAAAGATCGTTGGACGAGCTCATGGCTCATCGGGTGCTAAGGGGTTACCGAAGCCCTTAGATATCTACAATGTAAATGTCGCCACCCACCTTTAGACATGAGTTCTAAATCTCGGTTTTTTTTTCAGTACAAAGCCTGACCCGCCCTTCAAACGGAAATGCATTACTGCTTCACTGCAGAAATAGGCAGGGTGGTGGTAGCTACCCGCGCGGGCTCACAAGACGTCCTACCACCAACTTTCAAATATGTCACCTACTGCGTTTTATACTTAAATAAACAGAGTTGAACCTAAAACACGCTTATATAAGAAACCTGACTACACTTTATTTGGACTAGTCAAAGTGCTAATAAGAAAAGACACTTCGTGACTACTGCTTAGTATATTTTGAATTTCCTTTTTTCTTTGAATATGCCGATATACAGTAATCGCCCCTTATAACACGGTACTCTTATAACGCATTTTTATATTACGCGATTTCAGTCCTTGTTACTTCTTCTCTTTCTAACAGAGGTATTCCCCCATATACCGCGGAGATTTCACACGTTATATTTCTCTATTGTGAAATTTATGATTTGTACAGTTCATAATTAGTTTCGCGTTTCTTTTTACATTGTGTCAGCTATGTTCTTATAAAATAAAATAAAATTAATTCATTAAACACGTGTTTCTAGTTTTTGAATTGTAAAAACATTGGTTATATTTTTGTACATAACGCGTTATATGGATTCATAAAAGCGCGTTATGCGAGAATGCTCCTACTGCACGTTTCCTATAACGCGGAACCAATCTACCGTGTTATAGGGGGGATTACTGTAGATGAATTAACAAACCCACCAATAGATGTTTAACAGTAGAAACGGCGTATATAACAGTAGGAGATGGTCACGATAATAACTCCAACCTGAAATTAAATCCCAATATTGAATTCTAATCTTATCAAAAGTTAAACGCTAATTGTACGTAAGTCCTTCTCAGTGCCTATCCATAGCGAGATGCGACTCAAACACAACGAAGACACGATAATAGAATTTGTATCATGCCGTAAATGAATAATTCAGGAGTTGAATTACGCCGTAATCCAAATATTCCTGTTTTAATGGAATATTGAAAGGATAATGTCCTCGGCAGACATGAGAAGTAAACATTACAGAATTGAAAATCAAAGACCATCATGATCTTTATGCCTATGAGCTTAAGATCGAAAATGTGTTTTGATTTCATACAACATTTCCCTTTGGGTGTAGTCGGCTTCGTACGAAGTAAGTCAGATGTTCGGTCGCTGGTAAACTCTTTAAGAACAGGTGGTTATGATATTACGTCGGAAGTTTGGGATATTTTAATTAATTTATTCTCGAAAATTTTCCAAGGAAAATGTAATTTTATGTGTAACGTATTGAAAGAAAATAAAGTGGGTCGAATAACAAAACATTAATACAGAATGTCTAATTGTGACGTAAATACAAGATACGGTTTGTTGTTGAGAGGTTGTTTTTGGTAGATTTATGTTAATGAGTTTACTTTTCTTGTCGGACAACTTCAGTAAGCATGAGGATCGGGAGTTCGTTCACCCTGCTTATCTATATATATAAAAATGAAACCCGTTTTCCGTTGTCACGACATAACATGAAAACGGCTTGACCGATTTGGCTAATTTTGGTCTTGAATTATTTGTGGAAGTCCAGAGAAGGTTTAAAAGGTATAAAAATATGAAAATTCTCGGAATTAAATTATAAAAATAACAATTTTGTTTTCCCTTTGACGTGTCCCCCGTCGGACGGATTCCTTTTGTTTGTTTTAAGTTTATTCTATATAAAAGTTTAGGTCTTTTATTTATCGATTGAGGCACTACGAAGTCTGCCGGGTCAGCTAGTACAGAAATAAAAGAATTGAAGATATTTGATCCTGAACCCGATTCTCTTTTATCAGAACTACAACAAATCGGAGCGTTAACTGTACAACTATAACCGGACCGATCCCTACAGGACAAATCATTACCTATTTTAGAATCCCAGTTATTTGCTAATAGCATTTCATTCTCACCGCCCAAATCTAAATGGAAAAGAGCAAAAGCCTGTTATTGTTTGCCACGAATCCAATTATAGAATAAAATTACTCGTCCTCATTAATTTCTCTGTCTCAGGCCTAAACCCAAAAGAGCTTCGTGACACGAAAACCGGTGTTTTCATTGGCGCTTGCTTCTCCGAATCCGAGAAAACTTGGTTCTACGAAAAGATGCAGGTTAATGGATTCGGTATCACTGGGTAAGCTATCAATTTTAAATTTAATAACTTTTTATTTATTTATTTTTTACCTTTTTAGTAATATAATATAATAATACGGCCCACCTGATGGTAAGTGGTCACCGTCGCTCATGAACGTCAGCAATGCCAGGGGCAGAGCCAAGCCGCTGCCTACTAGTTGTAGTAGTTGTCATTGTAGTAGTTTTTTTTCCTACCTAAGCTGATAGCCTTGAGAGGCTATTTCAGCGTAACCTTAACTAGTAGGTGAGCTCACAAGGCTCAAACCGGAGTGATGCTAACACTGACCCTAGCAAGAGCAGTGCTTTGCAGAATCTACCACCGGATCGGAAACGCGACCCACTGAGAAGATCCGGCGAGAAACTCAGGGGGCTGTGTCTATGGGTTGATTCGCTCGTCGAGCCCTTCGTCGCAAGCGACGGGTTCATGTGGCAGTAATTCTATGAAAATGCGCTTTATTAACAAACTAAAAACTCATTGTCATTGTAAGCTTTACCATCCTGGTCAAATATTAGGCAAAAGCAGCAAAATAATTGTAACATCATCCGTCCTGAACACGTAGTGCGATTTGCATGTTAATTGGACGTATTTAAGTCTGTGAAAATCACGTTGGAAATTTTGTTTCATAGATAGGTAAAATTACTAGAAATGCCCCGATAATAATGTTTTTATCACAAGATTCTCTCTTTTTACTGGTGGTAGGACCTCTTGTGAGTCCGTGCGTGTAGGTACCACCACCCTGTCTATTTCTGCCGCGAAGCACTAATGCGTTTCGGTTTGAAGGTTGGGGCAGCCGTTGTAACTATACTGAGATTTTAGAACTTATATCTCGAGGTGGGTGGCGCATTTACGTTGTAGATGTCTATGGGCTCCAGTAACCACTTAACACCAGGTGGGCTGTGAGCTCCTCCACCCATCTAAGCAATAAAAAAAAGGTTACTCGTGTGGTAGGGTAATGACGTGACAATTTCATTTTTCAGTTGCTCAAGAGCTATGTTAGCCAATCGGATCTCCTATTGGCTTGGTGTAACCGGTCCATCATACACCGTCGACTCGGCTTGTTCGAGTTCCCTGTACGCCTTGGAACACGCCTTCAGAGCTATCAGGGATGGGCACTGTGACGCGGCCATTGTCGGGGGATCAAACCTGTGTCTCCATCCCTTCGTGTCTTTGCAGTTCTCTAGGTTAGTGCTTCAAGATAATGAGATTGAATACATTATAATGTAGGCACGATCATCACTCGGCCAATATCTGAGCCAAGCTTTTCGACATCAACACTACAAGAGATCGATGCTGTTGTCGACTTTGAGACTTGAGATCCGAGGTCTATTTCTAATGAAATATCGACTGTGGTATTATCGACTTCAAACAAAATAATACTTCGGGCTTACACTTAATTAGTACTAAAATAGTTTTAGATAAACCTGAGGCTTGGTTAACGAGCTATGGGGAATATAGATTAAGTGAAGCCTCATGCCAGCCACTCCCTGCATGGCAACACGCATTAAATTCCTGAAAAAGGAATATTAATGCTACAGACGATATTCGCTTTCAGATTGGGAGTATTGTCCCCGGACGGCAAGTGCAAGAGTTTTGATAACAGCGCTAATGGCTACGCTCGCTCTGAAGCCATAGTCGTTTGCTTCCTGCAAAAAGCCAAGGACTCCAGGAGGTAAGTAGCCATTTCACACCTTCCAATGTTTCATTCTTCATAATCATCACGAGTTTGTGGTGTGCGAGTTATTTTTTCATTACACTTGCGCAATGAAAAAATGAATAATTTCAAAATGAATAAAACTAAAATCCCTTTTCGTTATATCTTCAAAGTTAAACTATAAATGGAAATTGTATTTATACTAGCTGAGCCGGCAGACTTCGTAGTGCCTCAATCGACAAATAAAAGACCTAAACTTTTGTATATAATAAACTTAACACAAACAAAAAGAATCCGTCCGACAGGGGACACATCAAAGGGAAAACAAAATTGTTATTTTTATTTAATTCCGAGCATTTTTGATATTTATCTTCCTTTTAAACCATCTCTGGACTTCCACAAGTAATTCAAGACCAAAATTAGCCAAATCAGTCCAGCCGTTCTCGAGTTTTAGCGAGACTAACGAACAGCAATACATTTTTATATATAATATATAGATTTTGACGTCTGCGATTTGTTTTTTTTGTGTAAATAGCTTGTTTGACTATTCTGATCTAAGCATGGAATGCTTCATCTAGGGTATACGCACAGCTCCTTCACGCCAAAACCAACTGTGACGGCTACAAAGAACAGGGTATTACGTACCCAGCCGGTCACATTCAGAAGTTGCTACTCCGAGAGTTCTACGAGGAGTGCTCGATCCCGCCGTCCGAATTGGAATTCGTCGAGGCTCATGGAACAGGTAAGGAAAACTCATGGAACACTTTGTTCTCAAAAGAGCACTTTTTTTATTGCTTAGATGATTGGATGAGCTCACAGCCCACCTGGTGTTAAGTGGTTACTGGAACCCATAGGCATCTACAACGTAAATGCGGCACCCACCTTGAGATGTGAGTTGTAAGGTCTCAGTATAGTTACAACGGCTGCATCACCCTTCAAACCGAAACGCATTACTGCTTCACGGCAAAAATAGGCGGGGTGGTGGTATCGTGCGGACTCACAAATGGTCCCTACCACTAGTAAAAAGTAAGTAAAGTAATTTTATCTAAATTAACATATATTTCTTCTCGTTCATTTTTAATAAACTTCATTTTGGATCAAATTCAACAATTACATAGAGATTATAGTTGTTTAACAGATAAAAGCATAAATCTGGAAAAAAACACTTTTTCTAACAAAAAATACGATTTTCGATATTTTCTTGTGTTATTTATAATCCTTAAAAGTTCTGTACTACGAAATAGTATATCTGAACAAAACAACAACTGAGTTTCTTTTCTATTCTCCTGGGTTTAGATAGTAAAAGCGCGTTTAAAAAATTTTCGAATAAGAACAAATTGATTCTGAATACATTTTAATATCCAAATAATATCTACATTCTAAACTTTATCATCGAACAATTATGTACAAGATATAAAGTTTTATCTAGCGGAAAGCTTTCAACAGTCTGTTTGCAACTTGCGAACGTTTGAAAGGAATTTTTCCGTGAAAAGCAAAGGAGAAATGGAAAGAGCATAAAAATAGATAACAAACTCGAGTCGGCAAAGGCGAGTTTCGACGTTCGATAAAAAATGCATTCTCCGCCTTTTAGTTTAGACTAAGTGAATATAATCAAGTGTACCAGTTTTTGTATTGAAAATCTAAATGTAGTAATAAAATACAAATCATAGTATCAAAAATAGAAGATGTAAAAGAAATACCAAAAGAAGAAGCATAAAAAAATTCTCCCTGTGGGTACGTTGCAATGGATTTATGGAGATATAACCCAAAGAGGGCTGGCGTCAGGCAGCCGGGCCGGTCGTAAAACTCACGCTAAATTCCTATGCAGTGTGATAACAGAACCTACTGCGTCAACTCTACATAATGTGGAATAAGGACAAGAGGAAGCAGAAATTCTAATCGTTCTCATCTCCAGCTACAATTAGATTTCTTAGAAAAAGTCTTATTTTCATTTTTATAGCTACTTACTATATTCATTCAATGCGTTTCCATAGATCATTTTTAGTGTATAGTAACGAGCTTAGAAATAAGCTCCATTGCTTAAGTACTTTCTCCTGCACTGTGGAGCAAAACAGAGGTGGTTATCAATTAGGTTATAGTTATTAATAACGAAATTGAGAAATTTCATGCTAGTGAAAAATCTCTAGCCATAACTGCAAATCTCTCCTATAAATAGGAATGTAATTACTGGAATTAATTCCAAACCTTTGAGTAATGCTTAAGACCTTTCCAAGTAAATCTCCCGGGGAAAAGCTTGAGAAGTATTTCACTCGCTTAAATGTAATTAAACATTTAGGTACTTTAGCAGATGCTAATTAATTATGTGTCTTCGATAATTCTATTCTGTTTTTATTGTCTTGTATGGGCAGATCAGTACACCGCATACCAGTTAGGTTTTACTGGTGATAGGACCTCTTGTGAGTCCGCACGGGTACCACCACCCTGCCTATTTTCTGCCGTGAAGGAGTAATGCGTTTCGGTTTGAAGGGTGGGGCAGCCGTTTTAACTGTACTGAGACCTTAGAACTTATATCTCAAGGTGGGTGGCGCATTTACGTCGTAGATGTCTATGGGCTCCAGTAACCACTTAACACCAGGTGGGCTGTNTTACTGGTGATAGGACCTCTTGTGAGTCCGCACGGGTACCACCACCCTGCCTATTTTCTGCCGTGAAGGAGTAATGCGTTTCGGTTTGAAGGGTGGGGCAGCCGTTTTAACTGTACTGAGACCTTAGAACTTATATCTCAAGGTGGGTGGCGCATTTACGTCGTAGATGTCTATGGGCTCCAGTAACCACTTAACACCAGGTGGGCTGTGATCTCGTCCATCCATCTAATAAAAAGAAGAAAAAAAAAGTAGCCGCTGGAGTACATAAATATAATCACCTTGTGTGTTAAGGTTGAGGTTACAGTTGTATTGGATTATAGCTGTTTGGTCATCAAGAGTTTGAAACCCAAAATTTTGGTATTGCTTTGCGTTATAAATAGACAGTTTGGTGAACAATTCACGCGGGAAGTAATATATTTTACACCATTCAAAAATCTTTGAGTTTTGTTATAAATTAAAATACAAAAGTGTGTATGTAGGTTAGTTCCCTATAGACTCCGAAGCGGTTGGGCCGATTTTGTAGAAACTCTAAGGACATCTTTAGATTGGCCTAGCGGATGAGCTTGTGAAATTCAGTAGCTACCGGATCAAAGATCACCAAGAAGAACAGACCGGCTTGATTAGTAAACAAAATTATTTCTTCATCGTAGGCATAAATTGGGCACGTATTACATTTGGTACCTATCTAAATTGGTATTCTTCTGCATATTATCTACTTAGCGTAATTAAGTCGCGATGATCTTAAAATTTAGAATTAGATTTAATTAATGTAGTCTTTCGTGCGACTGTGCACATGAGTTAACACGGTCTCTTCTAATTACAGTAGATTGAGGGAAATAGGGATTAGAGGTAGAATAGGGACAAATCTGAGATATCACAATACTTTTGTTGAGTTGTTAGATTTAACTTTGTTGAACTGAAAATGACTTATATTTAGTGTTTAAGAATATTAAATAGTTTAATTTAGTTATCAAAGTTTTGTTACTCATTAAAGTAATTAAAAAGTTAATTACCTAACGTTAGGTACCTACCTAACAACTAAATAGATTTAGCCCTATCGAAAAACTCTATTGTCCCCTTAAGCGACCCGATTAACCCTCCAACGCCTGGGTGAATAGGGACAAGTGAGTTTTTTTTTAACTTTTTATGGTTATTCTTTATTAAACTATGTTAATGCGTTAAAAATGAAAATTTGAACTACCGGAACCATTATGATCTCCGTTTTATTGCTACAATTACAAAAAAAAAAACGATAAAAATCAATGTCGAACATAAAAAGTGTCCCCATCCAACCCCCCCCCCCCCCCTTAACGTACTGTCATTACAACTATTACCACAACTGTCATCCTCATCGTTACAGCCGTAAATAATATGATGTCATCCTTAATGCAGGTACTCGAGTGGGTGACCCCGAAGAGCTGTTGGCTATTGATGAAATTTTCTGCACGGGTCGTTCCGGGCCACTACTCCTAGGTTCCATAAAGTCGAACCTTGGACATTCAGAGCCTGCATCTGGCTTATGTTCTATAGCTAAAGTAAGTTTTAGAGCATCATCTAATAATCTGATATCTGATTATGTGAAATCTCTGGATTTATTTAAATGTTAGAAAAGTAGTAATAGAAGAATGGTGAGAAAACAAATAATAATAAATTTAATCAAAATCTAACAAAATTTGTTTTGGTACTGCGATTTCGTTACGTATTTTACAGGTAATGTTCTACAACTCTATAATATTATATTTTGTAGATATTATGTACGTTCAAAATAATGCTTGACATCGGAAATCAGAGTTTAGACCCTTACCATAGTACCATAGTTCATTTTAGCGGTAGGCAGCGGCTTAGCTCTGCCCCTGGAATTGCTGAAGTCCATGGGCGACGGTAACCACTCATCATCAGGTGGGCCGTATGCTCGCCTGCCTACAAGGGCAATAAAAAAAAACTATTTCGTTCATCCATAATGCTTTGCCAAAGATCTGGCTATGTCCCTGTCATTCACGCTAATGTCCATGGGCGACGGTAACCACTCATCTTCAGACGAGCTGTATACTTATTTATCTAAAAAGAAAATATGAAGACAATTACTGTACCACAATTCTTCGAAATGCAATTAATTTTACTTCGAACCATCATATTCTCTTAGACGGGACGCAGATTTTTCGTTACCAATTAAAATATAGTACAGTAATCCCCCCTATAACGCGGTACCCTTATAACGCGTTTTCATGTAACACGATTTCAATGCCCCGTATAACACGGGCATTTCCCCTATATAGCGCGGAGATTTTCCACATACAGTAATCCCCCCTATAACGCAGATAATGGTCCCGCTTATTGGTAAACGCGTTATAGGGATATTCCCGTATAATGCGTTTTCCTATAACGCGGAAACAATCTATCTCGTTAAAGGGGATTATTGTACTAATTATTTTTAAACATTTTTTATTTATTGTCTTTATTCCGTTTGGATACGGATAATCAGAAATGACACTGAAAACCGTGGAATTAGTAGTTTCGAAAAGCTCACGCTATTTCACAAATTGTTTCAGATGTGCATAGCCTACACTACTGGGTACATTCCACCCAACTTGAACTACAGCATTCCTCGAGAAGGAGTATCGGCTCTCGTCGATGGGAGAATGAATGTAATCACAGACAAGCAGGCTTGGAACAGAGGGATGTCGGGAATCAACAGTTTTGGTTTTGGCGGCGCAAACGCTCACGTTCTTTTGAAGAATGTAGCTAGGGACAAGGTAAACGGTCATCTATACTTCTATACTAATATTATAAAGAGGAAAGATTTGTTTGTTTGTTTGTATTGAATAGGCTCCGAAACTACTGAACCGATTTGAAAAATTATTTCATTATTTGGAAGCTACACTATTCCCGGGTGACATAGGCTATAGTCTCTTTTGAAAAAAATTAAGGATCCTTACTAAAACCCCAATAATGTAACCCAAGGTGTAAAAAAAATACCTAAAATATTCTTTACATCGCGTGCCCTGCGAAAACTATTGATGATAGAATAAAATAATGTACTACGACTTTGTAGACCACATTAAGTCCGCTTTATACTTTGTAGTATAAGAAGTTATAAATAAATAAATAAATTATTATTTACAAAAAGTGTCGCGACAGCATATATCTAACTATTATAGTGATGCCCCAATAAGTTTATTTAAAAAAATAAAACAACGTTAAATATCGTTGAAATTTTTGTTAAAGACCCGAGCGGTGCCGGAGCGGGCCGCTTGTATTAATTAAATAAACTTTACAAATCTGAAAAGGGCAAATCTATCTTTTATATACGTAAAAATAAAATTCTTGACCTTAATCAAAATTCGTATTGTGAAAATTTAATTTGGATCTAACATTAAAAGACAATGTTTAGTATTCAATGCAAATTTAAAACTAGATTAGCTGTATTTAGGACATATAATTTAAATTAAATTATTTGAAAACTTTTATGCTCCATCTGGTATTCCATTGAAACCGTACAAATCGTAATTGCAGATCGAAGTCTCAACGATATTGTTCATTGTGAATGATTTATTATTAAAGCTATTATTTCCGCAAATATATATTCAAATTTCAAATTCTATAACTCCTGTTTTTCCTGCATCAAATCTTCTGCAGGTTTCTCCTTAATATAAAAGCCGTATCTAATCTATTTCTATACTGTAGTCGTCGTAGCCTAACGGATAGGACGTCCGGTGCATTCGTGTTGAAGCGATGCACCGGTGTTCGAATCCCGCAGGCGGGTACCAATTTTTCTAATGAAATACGTACTCGACAAATGTTCACGATTGACTTCCACGGTGAAGGAATTACATCGTGTAATAAAAATGAAACCCGCAAAATTATAATTTGCGTAATTACTGGTGGTAGGACCTCTTGAGTCCGCGCGGGTGGGTACCACCACCCTGCCTATTTCTGCCGTGAAGCAGTGATGCGTTTCGGTTTGAAGGGTGGCCGTTGTAACTATACTTGAGACCTCAGAACTTGTATCTCAAGGTGGGTGGCGCATTTACGTTGTAGATGTCTATGGGCTCCAGTAACCACTTGACACCAGGTGGGCTGTGAGCTCGTTCACCCATCTTAGCAATACAAAAAAAATACTATTTTTATTTCTATACGTTTCAATTCTCAGGTAAACAATGGAATTCCTAAAGACGATCTACCCCGTCTTGTGTGTGCATCGGGGCGAACCGAATCAGCTGTGGCGCGAATCTTTGATGATCTTGAATCCAGGACCGTTGATGCTGAATTAGTCAGACTTTTACATTCCATCCATGATCAAGACATCGCTGGCCACGTTGTTAGAGGATTTACGTTATTGGGTAAGTTTAAAAAAAATACATTGCGTTGATGCTTGGACGAGCTCACTGCCCACTGGATGTTAAGTGGTTACCGGAGCCCATAGACATCTACAACGTAAATACCGCAACCCATCTTGAGATACGAGTTCTAAGATCTCGGATAGTTACAACGGCTGCCCCATCCTTCAAACCGAAACGCTTTACTGCGTCACGGCTGAAATAGGCAGGGTGGTGGTACCAACCTACCCGTGTGGACTCACAAGAGATCCTACCACTAGTAAATCTTACATATATTCTTTAATGCTCACCTATGTATTTTTTCTCGTCTTCTCCTCTAGACCAATGTGATTTCATGAACTTGTTCAGACGTAAAGTTGATAAACACCAATTAACTTTATAACTCATTTTCATACTCAATTCAATCAAAACGTATAGATATTCTAAATATTTGAATGTACACATCGCAGGTTCTACACCAACGAAGAGTGAGTCATTAGCTAGAGATATCCAATACTATTCCGGTGTACGTCGTCCTGTTTGGTTTGTGTATTCTGGCATGGGCTCGCAGTGGCCTGGAATGGGCGCTCAACTAATGAGGATACCCGTGTTTGCGGCTGCCATCGAAAAGTGAGTATTTAGTAAGAACATTTGACTTTTTAGGGTTCCCAGAAAATAATGTTTACTTCTTTAAATATTGTGGTATTATGTTGGTATGGTCAAAGTGTGTAAGCTAAATATAAAAATAAACATAATATCTATTACCATTTCATTTACAATTAATAATCCATTTTCAATTTAATTAGTACTGAATAGCAAGCACTGTTTCTTAAAAGCGAATACTTCAAAACTATAATCTAATAAACATATTCTTAATTCTTATAAAATTAAAAAATTTTAATTATTTCAAATGGATTTCTTAATGAGTTTTAAACAGCTTTGATATTTCTTTGAAGCAAACCGTTAGTTATTTTTAATGGTTGATTTCTTCGTGTTCTAATGCTCACTTTTATGCTACACAGATGTAACAATGTCCTTAAACCAAAAGGCATTAACGTGGTCAAGATCATCACCGATTCCGACCCCAAAATGTTTGATGATGTTCTGAATTCTTTCGTCGGTATTGCGGCCATTCAGATCGGTCTTACTGACGTCCTGAAAAGTGTTGGCATTGAGCCTGACCATATTATCGGTAGGTCTATAGTTAATTTTTTTAGAATTTGAGAATTAATTATTACTTTTAACTGACTTTAAAAAAATAGTCTATAGATTTGACTATATTTTTTATCCGTTTTAGAGCTCAGAACTTTTTTAAAGGAGATTTGATTTTAATTTTTTTTATTTGAGGTAGCTGCGTTTTATCTGCTTCCAATTTTTTTGCTATCAATAATGTTTCAATTATATTTAATAATGCATATTTAATTGACTTCAATTACATTGATGATATTCTCATTTTATTTTTGTTAACCTTTAAAGTTGATTCCCTTTTTTGTTATTTATTTTTAAATAATTTTGCTCGTTCCACTGATGACTTTATAATGCCTTTTCTAAATTGTCTTCACGATATTACTTTGAAACTAATATTGAAAACAATCTAATTATTTTTAACTCATCTTGTATTTTTAGTACTATTTAAAAACTTTTAAAAGTTAATTTATGTAATTTTGAGGTATACCGTAGGGACTATGCCGTGGGGACTAAAGAGGATCTGACAAGTCTAGCGATGTTTCTATTCTAATCTAATCTACTATTAGTTACTAATGGGTACTAGTGGGTTATAAATGTTTATGAAATATGCAAGTTCTTTAGATAAAATTGTATTTCTTTTAAATGAAGATTCTTTAAGCTCTCGATATTATTTAGGGCACAGTGTCGGTGAATTGGGCTGTGCCTATGCCGACGGATGTTTCACCGCGGAACAGATGATCCTGTCGGCTTACAGCAGAGGTCTTGCTTCCGTCAAGACGACCCTCATCAAGGGGTCCATGGCGGCTGTGGGGCTTGGTTATAGTCAAGTATGTTTATTTTTGATTTTAGTCTATTCATTCTCTAATTTATCGTTAGGGTAAGTTGAGCTGTTTGGTATTCCACAATATGGGGTCATCTTCTTTCTTCGTTACATCAAAATCGCCATTTAACGGCACCTATTTTCAATTCATTACGTTGGTGCCACTACTCACCTATTTGTATTTTAAATTGAGAGATTAAAACTATGTAGTAATGATTTTTTGTGTAATGATTTACCATTTATTCTGCATTCACTTCTAACGTTGGAACAGATAAAATCCATGTGCCCACCCGAGATCGTGGTAGCGTGTCACAATGGCCCGGACTCCAGTACTATTGCTGGCCCAGCTGACGCCATGAAAGCTTTTGTGGCTAAGCTGACGGCACAAGGAATCTTCGCTAAAGAAGTTCCTAGCTCAAACATTGCTTACCATTCGAAGTATGTCGCAGATGCAGGTACGATAATTTTGCTTTTATGTCTTTTTAAATACACACGAAACCTATTTTAATTCAATTCAGTCACAGAATTGTCCATGTGTAAAAAAAACCATGCAAAATATCCAAAGTTACTGGTTGTAATGTGTATTGCGAGTCAGCAGTACAGTTAGACTTTGCTCTCACATCTCAAGGAGCGTGGCTGCATTCCATGAGGGAGGGTTGATGTACTCCGGTAAGCACAGAGCCACTGACTGCATATTTTGTAGTACCTAGCACTATTCATTCTATTCCAGTAGTGCCCTATGGTTGTTTATGAACCTTTTTTTTATTATTATTATTATTATTATCAGTTAATCGAACGCTGGTCTTAAATACACGACAACATTAAATATGGTTTGGATTTTAGTAAAACCGAATCACAGAAGCTTCAGTCGTGATTTGCTAGCATACGCGGTGTAAAGTAATCTATGCTCTAGAACTAAATTAGTCAATTGACTTCGCTTTGGAAGGTTCACAAAATATCCAAACCCGCTAAAATAAAAAGCAATGCTTGGTCGACTTTACAGCTGAAATTTCTTAACCATAACAGCTTCAGAATTGCTATGTCGTTTATATTCTGTGCATTGCTAAGCAAATGGTACATCATGTCCACGTTGTAGGGTACCAATATATGTATATATGTATCTGTCCACAGCGAATTCTGGATTGTTTTAATCCAAAATTATCATAAACTAGGTGACCCGGCAGACTTCTTAGTGCCTCAATCGATAAATAAAAGACCTAAGCTTTTGTATAAAATAAACTTAAAACAAACAAAAGGAATCCGTCCGACGGAGGACACATCAAAGGGAAAACAAAATTGTAATTTTTATTTAACTCCGAGCATTTTCATATTTATCTACCTTTTAAACCTTCTCTGGACTTCACAAATAATTCAAGACCAAAATTAGTCAAATCGGTTCAGCCGTTCACGAGTTTTAGCGAGACTAACGAACAGTAATTCATTTTTATATATATAGATGTAGATTTTTAAACTTTTAAACGTACTTTTCCGTGTATTAGAATAAATCAGTAAGATAAAATTATCTATCATAGTGATTCAGGAAATATACGACATTTAAAATTTATATTTTTAGGACCAAAACTACTGAAATATCTCAGTCAAGTGATACCATCACCGAAGCCTCGCACAGAACGCTGGGTTTCAACCTCCATACCACAGTCTCAATGGAAAGAGAGCAAAGCTCGACTATCTTCCGCTGAATACCATACAAACAATTTACTGGTAAGTTAAATATCGTCATTAATTCAACTCATTAAAGATCATAATAGAATAATATTATCATAGGTACTTATCTATAGAAATTGCAGCAAATAAACATTAAAAAAAAGGCATTTGCATTTACTTCTATCCACGACACTGTAGGGTACAGAGTATTCAAGATGACAAACATATGTTTAACGTCACATTGCGAAAATGGCATTACACAGAAAACTCTGCATGTGGATGTGGACATCACTGTTGATATTCTAAAGTAAACCTGCAAATCTTAGCTGTATATATTTTTTTTTATGTTAATGCACTGTCGATTGCACCTATAATTGAGGTGACATCTGCCATGAACTTTTGTCAATTTGTCAATGTTTTGTATTGATGATCACTTTGTTGGTGCAACTTAATAAATAAATAAATAAATAAATGCCTCTGGGAATATAAAATGTCCTTTCTAAACACATCCATATTTTCGGATTATGCCCATAACAGCCATGAGTAACGGTAACCGTATTTCACTCAATTCACCACCGGTCCACTCAAAACTGTTGCGTCAAGTTTGTCCAAAATTTACATATATTATGTCATAAATTTTGTTTTCCTCGGTATTTTAATATCTACAGTTGTAAGGTATTCTACGACATCGCCCGATGACACTGTACACAGTAGGCACAAGGCTACTAGGCTAATTAAGTAAAACTATATAGGCGTAATTATTTTGAACTCTAGAGCCCAGTTCTTTTCGAGGAAGCGTCCCGTTTGATCCACAACAATGCCATAACCATCGAGATTGCTCCCCACGGTCTGTTACAAGCAATCCTGCGACGTTCCTTGAAGAAGGATGTCATTAACATTCCACTGACCCAAAGGGGCCATAGCGATAACGTGCAAGTACTATTGACAGCTCTGGGCAAGTAAGTATATATTGATTTAAAGTTATTGAGAACTTCATCTTTGATGTATAACTAGCTAGCCCGGCAAAAGTTGTTTTGCCATATAAATTATTTCTAGGAAAGATAAATAGCCTAGAGACCAACTGCAACGCTATCTGCCGGGCTGACTTGTAAATCTAAACCTTTCTCGAATCCACCTGAAGGTACACAGAAAATTTCATTAAAATCGGTCCAGCTGTTTAGGAGGAGCTCAGTAACAAACACACGCACAGAAGAAATATATATACATATAAAGATCAGCCAAACGAGAATTTTGCAGAAAATTGTTGTACGAGCTTTTAACGCTCACAAGATCGCAGTCCAATGCTTAGTTATTAATGGAACTTAAAGATAACACTACGTAAATTCCGCTACTGCTTAATTTTGTTATGAAATGTGTAGGATAAACCAAAAAGCTATTGTGTTTCCCAACAGAAATAGGTTGTGGTGCAAGCACTCAACACGCATTATATCGAATTATTTTTGTCTGCATTACTACTATAATTTTGACGTGTTAATTCTTAAAGTTTTTTGCTAATTTTAAAGATTCTTCAGATGCTCTCACATAAAAGTGGTATACTCAGTACATTACATATTCAAGTTCGGGCGTATCTACTCATTCTTGACTTTTGTCAGACCTTGGGGATTTTGGATTAGCAAATAATTTATAATCAGAGCTTGGAGTTGTTGGATATGTGACGGTCAAGTACCTCCTAAACGTATGTCCTGAAAGCTTTTACTACAGTTGTTTTTTTTTTGCCAGCTTGTATGAATCAGGACTGAACCCGCATCTCGCAAACATCTACCCTCATATACCGTTCCCAGTGTCGCAAGGTACTCCAATGTTGGCGCATTTGGTTGAATGGGAACACAGTGAAGATTGGTGAGTGTTTACGATATAATAACATCACATATTATGTTACACTACCTTATCTACCATCCAATTTGTACGGGAAGGGACCCTGGTGTGAGGCGGCGTGCTTTGCACACTCGCCCGCAGTAGGAAGCTGGGTAGACCGAGTTCCCCCGACCGCTCCGTGGTCGTGTTGCCGGCGGCCGACGGTCCGGCGCCTGTGTGACGGCGGGATGGATGTAATATGCTCTGCGTCAACCCTGTCCCGCCGTCTCAATAGCCCCGACTGGGTTCCAGCCCGGTCCGAGGTAGGACACCGGCTGTGAGCGGCAGGAGTTTTTAGTGAGGTTCAACTCCCACATTCCTCACCTGCCGCGCGGGTGGGGATCCGGCGATTTTCTACTGTGGAAAAAACCGTACTTTATCTACACTTTACTGTGGAATCAGGCCCATATCAGCCCGCCGCAGTACTTTCATCTGGTGCAGACATCGTTGGTACGGACCGATTATTTCAGGTGTTTGTAAGAGCTCAAACCGACTATATACTATAAACTGTACACACACAGCATTTTTTAGCAAATTTATTGCATTTTAATCTACCCCAGTGCTGGTGCGTCTAGAAAGACCTGTCACGCACTGGTGGAAATATTGTTGAGGGCGCATTACGGTCCGCCGCAGCACCTGATGAAGCTTGATGATTTTTGTTAATTAACAGTCTTATATGTGTAATAATAATAGTGTTCTTTATCAGCACGTTTTAAACTCAAATCGTGGCGTTATACAGCTATCACTAACGCATTATTTTTGTAATTTCTATAGCGTTTCCGAAATCCCTCTGTGCTCACATTTGTAATTTCGTATTAAGAAACATACAATCACGCCATGAATTATTTCGGAGAAATAATATCGTAGGATGAAAGGTTATCTTATCTTACACCTTTAGGCGAGCAATTCTTGTATATTAATATATAATAGGGTAAGTCCGGGGTAGTTGGCCATAGTTTTTTCTAAGCTCTGTCAAAAATCAAATACTTATGTTTTTTTAATTATATTTATTTTTCATTAAACTTTGAAGAATCGACTATGATATTATAAACAAAAAAGGAACAATTTCTAATGAGATCACCTTATAAATTGAAGTTTTTCTTAAATCACAATTGGCCATCTCTCCCAAGGTGTCCGGGTGTGATGGCCATAGTATTAGAGGTAACATGGCCATAGCCTAATTCTAGACTTATAATTACTTTTTGGTCTCATTTTCTACTTTTAAGTCTTGTTTTCTCTTCTTCGTCACATATGGAGCATGTCGCTTCAAATTCAGTGTAGTGTTCGTCAACTCAATACCGACACACTGTACATTGAAGCCACTCTTCGATGAGAAGTGTTTCCTAGTAATTTTCACCACTCTCACGAGTTGTTCTTTTCGTGTCACTTTCTTTTCTCATTTTTATCTGACAATATTTTTAATGGAATATAATATCACTATTCTCAGATAGTTTTCGAATAGCTTTTCTTTTTATACATTGAACAGTCCTTTTATTGTCTTTTTTTTCCTTCTTTGTTTTGACACATTTTATTACTTTTTCTTTTTTATACTTTTTTCTGCAGCATTTTTTCTAATTCTTGATGTGTTCTTTCGAATTAAAAAGTATTGCAACTTGCTTTGCTCATTTACACACTTGAGTCAGTTTTGTGCACGGGTATATATATCCTGTAGAATTTGAGATGGGGTGTAATCTGGATTCTTACTGAACGAGCCTCTTTCGGAGTACTCGGGTGTGAAACATTAGACATTATGGCATTTTTAACGCATGATTTTGTGAACACGATTATAGGGCTCTAAAACAAATAAGAAAACACAATAATACTTTGCAGAAAACATCATTTCTGTAACATGGAACCATGGCCATCATACACCGACTGCACTTTGCCATCTCTCCTTTTTTTCCGGGAGAGACGGCCACAACAAAAAATAAAACAAGCCATGACACGAAACAAACAATTTTGAGGTTTTAAAGTAGCACTGTTTGTATACTTTGCATCAAATACAAATATCACCATAATTTAAAGAAACTGATACCACAATTGTGTAAGACATAAAGCATCAAATAAATATTTACAATAGTCGAAACAAAAAACAAAGGAATTACTTACTTTTTCTTCTTTTTTCGCCAAATATTTTGTCACACCGTTGCCCTCACGCATGTCGCGCAGAAAACTAAACGTTAACTAGTGACATTTAGTGAACGATACCTTGAAATATTTTGATAGGCCATCTCTCCCATATGGCCATCTACCCCGGACTTACCCTAATATATAATCTGAATCTCGGAAACGGCTCCAATGATTTTCATAAAATTTAGTATACAGGGGATTCCGGGGGCGATAAATCGACTTAGCTACGATTTATTTTCAGAAAATGTTGTTTTATTCGTGTTTTCAATAATCAACTCTTCCCGACATCTATTGGCGAATAATAATACTATTTTTCTTAATTGAGGGCAATTAACCGCTTTAAAGACACACGATTGACTTCCACGGTGAAGGAATAACATCGTGTAATAAAAACCAAACCCGCAAAATTATAATTTGCGCAATCACTGGTGGTAGGACCTCTTGTAAGTCCGCACGGGTAGGTACCACCACCCCGCCTATTTCCGCCGTGAAGCAGTAATGCGTTTCGGTTCGAAGGGTGGGGTAGCCGTTGTAACTATACTGATACCTTAGAACTTATATCTCGAGGTGGGTGGCGCATTTACGTTGTAGATGTCTATGGGCTCCAGTAACCACTTAACACCAGGTGGGTTGTGAGCTCGTCCATCCAACTAAACAATAAAAAAAAAAAAAATGGCGTTATCAAAAAAAAAAAAACCGAGCAAAGCTCGGTCGTCGTCTAGTTTCGTTTAAGTGACATTTTTGCAACTTTGCAGGAGAACCATTTAAAGTGTACATTTTGGAAAAATATCATAACAAAAACACTTCTTCAGTTATTTGAATAGGGTAAACTTAATTGAAGTTTAATTAGAAACATCGAACTGTTGATGCTAATACCAAAGAAAACGGACAATTACAAAGATAAATGTCGCGTGTTAAGCAAAATGTTGCTTAAACCAAATGGCCTTTCACCTCTCGATATGTCTAAAAAAGTAACGTAGCGTATGGTCCTTAATTTCGAACCTTCCTCTCGTATAAGGGACAAGCGTGATAGATACCTCTAGGCTACCAAATTGCTACAATTTCTCGTCCAGAAAAAAATTCTTAGTAACCGTCAAATATTAAAATATATTATATAAATCAACGGCCGTCTGGTGTAGTGGTAAGTGACATGGTCACTACACAGGGGGGTCGCGGGTTCGAATCCCGCTAAGGGAAGATATTTGTATGATAAATATAAATGTCTTTTCCAGGGTTATGGATGTCTATTAAATATATGTATGTGTATAATAAAAATCTTACATTTATATCCGTTATCTGGTACCTGTAACACAAGTTCTTTACGAACTTATCACGGGACCAGTTAACGTGGCGTGATTGTTAGTAAATATTTATTTATATTTATTTATTTATTATAGTCCTTAAAACAACAAAAGCGTCCAAATAAAATAACTAAATAGTATTGTCAAATAAAGAAAGCAGTCTACAAATTGATTTGAGCTCACAGTATTTTTGTGTTAAAGCTCAATCGACGTTAACAATAGGATATATTGTTTTGCTTTGACAAAAAATCGCTTCGATGGAATATCTGCTAATTCGAGTTAATTACGTAACGATTAGAATAATAGTCTCTAATCAAAATTTAGCTTAAGGTTTTCTCAGCGCAATGTACAAACTAGTGACATTAGTTAGCAGTGACAGATTCGTAAATATGTATTAATCTGATCTAGTAATTTATCTCCTGTGTTTTCTTTTTATTGCTTAGATGAATGGGCGAGCTCACAGGTCACCTGGTGTTAAGTGGAGCCCATAGACATCTAGAACATAAATGCGCAACCCACCTCGAGATATAAGTTCTAAGATCTCAGTATAGTTACAACGGCTACCCCACCCTTCGAACCGAAAAGCATTACTGCTTCACGGCGTATATAGGCGGGGTGGTGGTACCTACCCGTGCGGACTCACAAGAGGTCCTACCACCAGTGTGAATGAAGAATGTGTCATGAAGACAAGGACGTTTGATTTGCAATTTTATGTTTTTCTCCGTCTATATTTCTTTTAATTTTGATTCAATTTACATACAACATTTAATTTTAATATAGTAGTGAGATATTATAATATTTAGTTTGTTTCTGTTTTTATTGTTCATTTTTTAACAAAGCCGGTTTTTTTTTTGTTTCATTTCTTTTTTTTTATTGCTTAGATGGACGAACGAACTCACAGCCCACCTGGTGTTAAGTGGTTACTGGAGCCCATATACATCTACAACGTAAATGCGCCACCCACCTCGAGATATAAGTTCTAAAGTCTCAAGTACAGTTATTTCAATGAATCAATCAGTTTTAATTCACTTAATTGATTATAAATAAAATAAATTAGTTTTACGCATCTCGACCCTGAAACTGAGATGCATTTAATGATGTCTCGTATGTTGGAATTCGTCAAAACTATTAGGCATTGAGCATATCAAAGGGCAAATTTTTATAAGCGTAAACCGAGAACCGACGGTGGTAGATTTAATAGTTAGTTTTGACATTCAACAAGTATATTATTTCATTGTTAATCTTTTAAGTTGATTAATGAATTTTAAACTAAATGTAATTTAATATAAACTAGAGGTCCCGCAGTAGTCGAAATTCGACTTTAATTAATTGGAATTGTAAGTTTGTACACTATTATGATTGTATTTTATACTTCTATGATCACAAATTTCGGGCTACACTATAAAAAAATATTAATAAAGACAAACAATATTTAATCTATTCCCAATTTGAACACAGACGTCAAAAACAAAAGTTTGACAATAAATGGTATGCATGCGTGTGTGCGTCAAATACATGGTATGTAGTGTGTGTAATGTTTTCTTTATTGATTTAATGTATCTTTTATGCATTATTTAAAAAAAATATTAGCATTGTGCACTTCTTCTCTATATTCTCTATAAGTATGGAAAATTTCATACCCCTCCGTCCACGCAATTTTCATAAAAAGGGGTATAAAGTTTTTGCTTCACGTATTAATATATAGATTTCATTGCACCTGCGACTCTCTGCAACCTTAGGCATTAAATTCGCCAATGTCAATTTTACATGAAGTATAATAAAAAAAATTATATTTTATTGTAAATTCTTTATCAATTAACATCGAACTGTAAATACGTTACTCATTTAAATAATTAGGAATTTTTTACTAAAAAAAGAACACAATATTCCTAGCCTAAAAGTACATGTAATTATCCGCAACATGCTTCGTCAGATTACAGAAATAGAGTTATCAGCAACATGCTTCGTCGAAAATTACAATACTTACTTTCAGCTGCAGGCGTCGTCATCATTAGGAAATTATAAGTACATTCTGACACTCAGGAAGCATATAGGTATTTCAATACAAGCAAATAAAACCCCTAATTTCATGCAGTGAATGTTCATTTTCATTTAAACATGAGGAATACTTGCACTATAGAATGAATGTTATATGAATTAGGCTACAATGACATATCCATTAGCTAGAATTGCCAGTAGAATCAATTCAAAGTAAATCGCGTGTGACGTGAGGATCGCAGGCTATGAAGTAGGTCTGAAGGCTATTCGGAAGCTATCGATATTGTAATTGTATGTCGAATAAGTTATATTTTATCGCTCGTGAATCTGCGATACCAAAAATGCTTCTATCTGACTATATTTAGGTTTTTCTGTTTTCCCGATAAAAGCTGGATAACAATGGTATTTATCTTTTACTGTAATCGCTATGAAAAACACAAACATGATAAAAATGCTTCTTCGTACTGACAACCTTCTTAATTACAAAGCACTAGATCTCTTAGTAATTTTTTCCTTCTTTTTTCATTCTGATTATTTATCTCATGAGAAAGGGACAACAGTTTCATAAATACTTTCGTCGCTGTCAAACCAAAATCTGCTATGTGCAAAAACGCACCCTCAGACACAGCTCACTGAGTTTCTCGCCGGATCTTCTCAGTGGGTCGCGTTTCCGATCCGGTGGTAGATTCTGCGAAGCACGGCTCTTGCTAGGGTTCGTGTTAGCAACGTCGTCAGGTTTGAGCCCCATGAGCTCACCTACTAGTTAAGGTTACGCTGGAATAGCCTCTCAAGGCTTAGGCAAGCTTAGGTAGGGAAAAAAAAACTCTATTTTGAATTAACGAGTAAAAACATTTTCGGATAAAATTTTATATGAAAGTTAATATTTAATAACTATATCAAATGCAAGCTTTAGATAAATATTAAAGCTATAGCTTATATACACATAACAGTTTTTTTATACAGTAGATAGGACTGTGAACTATACGAAAAGGTCAAAAAGTAAAAATCTCAAAAAGTGCACAGAGCAGATTTTGGTTTGACAACGTCGTTGTGTCTCTTGACGAGTGGCAGCATTGAAGTTGTGGTGTATATGGGATTACCGCGTCCGTTCGGGGTCCATTCAAATCCCAGTAGATTCATGTGGTGTTCTACATTTTACGGGATAATAGGGGTATATCTACCTCAAAAAATGTGTTCCGTAGCGGGCAGGGAAAAACGATGGAAGTTTAACCAGAGTTTCCTATTTAAATTTAAGTAGTAAAGATAGGAGACGAACTTATAATAAATAATAAATAAATAAATATTTACTAACAATCACGCCACGTTAACTGGTCCCGTGATAAGTTCGTAAAGAACTTGTATTACAGGTACCAGATAACGGAAATAAATGTAAGGTTTTTATTATACACATACATATATTTAAGACACATCCATAACCCTGGAAAAGACATTTATATTTATCATACAAATACCTTTCCTTGGCGGGATTCGAACCCGCGACCCCCTTGTGTAGTGACCATGTCACTTACCACTACACCAGACGGCCGTATAATAGACCTACTGGTGAAAATCCGGAATTTATAAACACCACAATGCAATTTTCCCGTACACCTTGATACATGACTTCGAAATGTAAGTTTGATAGATGTAAAGACTGACTCGCTCGGATGTCTCAACGCTGGTGGCTTTACTGGTGGTTACCTTCTGTGAGTCCGCACGGGTAGTTACCACCACCCCGCCTGTTTCTGCCGTGAAGCAGTAATGCGTTTCGGTTTGAAGGGCAGCCGTTGTATCCATACTGAGACCTTAGAACTCATCTCAAGGTGGGTGGTGGCATTTACGTTGTAGATGTCTATAGGCTCCGATAACCACACCAGGTGGGCCGTAACACATCTAAGCAATAAATAAATAAATGCTCTTAATCCTGAAGATGGACTTGCACCAACCTTTCGAGGATCTAATCAGTTGACAAAGGTTATCCGAAAAACCAAATTAAATCAGAAGCACAGGCTCGTATACTACGCGTAAATAGCACAGTGCAATAACCCTTACCAACGTGATCTACAAGAATCGTCGGCAGCCCGCTTATTAATAGCTCGCGATCCGTCAGACGACCGCAAACAAATAGCTTGCGTGTGATCTATGGCGGGCACTTTGTTCATTGACTCCAATATACGGGATGTCCGCGGGATATTTTTCAAACTCCCTAACATTTGTGGGCGGAGTTGCTAGGTCGCTTTGACGGTATTTGTATATTATCGTGCCATTCTCAAAATTACGTTTGAATTATTTTTTTATTGGCCTTAATTGCGGACGAGCTTACGGCCTAGCTAATGGTGAGTGGTTACTGTTGATTATGCCCTGGGGCACAGCCAAGTCGCTACCTATCACGACATTCGGGCATCATCATCATCATCAGCCTTTATCTACCCATTGCTGAACATAGGCCTTCACCAATGCCTTCCACATAATGCGGTCCTCCGTGTTCCGCATCCAACGACTTTCCGCCGTGTGCACTAAGTCGTCGGTCCACCTGGTTAGAGGACGCTCCTGGTACCCATCCGTGGCTTCTATTCGAGAACTTTCGTCCCCCACTTGGTGTCGCTGGCTCGACAGATGTGACCGGCCCATTGCCACTTCAGCCTGATAACTTTGAGAGCTATGTCGTCAACCTTGGTTCTCCGTCGAATTCCTTCGTTCCGGATTTTGTCCCTTAGAGAAATACCGAGCATAGCTCTCTCCATCGACTCATTGCAATTAATGTTAAATTGCATAAAACACCGGCACGTTTATTCGTTATTGAAATGTAATAAATAAATTATTGTGTATATATCTGTATTGTAGAAGAAATATCAGGGTGCTTAGTGCAAGTTTTTTAACTTCTCGATCGCGTAAAAGTTAACTCAAATTTGTATGGAGTTGGAACAGCGCCCCTAGCGGCAAACGTAGATACGCTGTTCTAACTCCATACAAAACTGGCACTAAGCATACAGAGTGAAAGCTAAATAAGATTGTCGTGTACAGGTGTCTCAACCAATCAATTCGAATAATATATTTTACTAAAAAGAAATGTAGCTTATTTTTTCGTATGTCGAATCTATTTTATTTTTGTTGGATTCGTTGCTCTTGGCTATGGATACAGCTCTTTAACTATATTCGTAATTATTTCACGCTGTGTACCTACAATGTATTAGTGAAGTTAGTACCGTACCGTAGTTTTGTCGAAGTCGTCGTGGCCTAAAGGATAAGACGTCCGGTGCATTCGTATATAGCGATGCAACGGTGTTCGAATCCCGTAGGCGGGTACCAATTTTTCTAATGAAATACGTACTTAACAATTGTTCACGATTGACTTCCACGGTAAAGGAATAACATCGTGTAATAAAAATCAAATAAATAAATATATTATATATTAAATAAATAAATATTTACTAACAATCACGCCACGTTAACTGGTCCCGTGATAAGTTCGTAAAGAACTTGTGTTGTAGGTACCAGATAACGGAAATAAATGTAATATTTTTATTATACACATACATATATTTAATATACATCCATACCCCTGGAAAAGACATTTATATTTATCATACAAATATCTTTCCTTGGCGGGATTCGAACCCGCGACCCCTTTGTGTAGTGACCATGTCACTTACCACTACACCAGACGGCCGTTAAAAATCAAACCCGCAAAATTATAATTTGCGTAATTACTGGTGGTAGGACCGCTTGTGAGTCCGCGCGGGTAAGGTATCACCGTCCCGCCTATTTCTGCCGTGAAGCAGTAATGCGTTTCGGTTTGAAGGGTGGGGCAGCCGTTGTAACTATACTGAGACCTTAGAACATATATCTCAGGGTGTGTGGCACATTTACGTTGTAGATGTCTATGGGTTTGAGGGACCATTTAACACCAAGTGGGCTGTGAGCTCGTCCACACATATAGGCAATAAAAAAATAAAAAAAGAACTCGATTGAAATCGTAACTTTGTTAGAGTTACCGTGTAAAGAATCATCAGAGCTCTTGCCCATCTTCGTTTTTGGTAGACATATTTTGCATTACACCTTGTATTTATTGATCTTCTTCTCAGTCAGCCACTCTTGTCAGAGTGGTCGTGGTTGCGCTGACGATATTGTCATAGTCCAAACAACGTATAGTATAGATGGCGCGTGAATATTTCTTTTTAGGCATACGGTGTAACCGGGTTTCTGATTCATTTGAATACAAATATACTTCCATTTTCATATCTATTCCGAACCGAAATAACATATTAGTATATATTTACAGATATGTCTCATTTTAAACAGGTATGTGACATCGTACAAGGCTCAGGATAAGATGAAATCAGGAGAACGTACTGTTAGGATGTCTATAGTCGATGAAGACAGCGAGTATATGGCCGGACACGTTGTCGATGGTAAGCTTGTTTCATCATCATCATCTCAGCCTGTTCACCGTCCACTGCTAAACATAGGCCAATCCAATCGAGGTCCAGTACGGCCGGTTCGTTGCCACCTGTATCCAACGTGACCCAGCGATTTTGACTAGTAGGTGGCCGTTCCATACTGTGCTTGCTAGTACGTGGTCTTCACTAATGAGTCTTTCTACGTCACCGGCCGTCCGATTTTAGCGCTATATGGCCTGCCCATTGCAGCTTACAAATCCTAAGGTTGCTATGTTATTCTATCCATTAATCCTATATTACACGTTACCACCTGTATATTCTGCCACAGTTAATAATTGAGAATTCAAAACACTTAAAGGGTATATATATTATATTATTCCTCTACTCGAGCTCTGGCTCGGTTTACTGAGCTCCCGCCTCGAGACCCTCAGGGAAAGGGTGGCTTAGTTTCCAAAGGAAAGGGTATATATTATTATATAATAGCATATTTTTATTTAATATAATATATTTTGTTTAGGACGCAACTTGTATCCCGCAACCGGGTATCTAGTTCTTGTCTGGGAGACTTTGGGTATGATGATGGGAGAACTCTACACGGAGGTATCAGTAGTATTCGAGAACGTTCGATTCCAGCGTGCCACTAATATCCCGAAGGAAGGAAACTTGGAGTTCATTATTATGATACAAAAAGGCAGCGGTAATTTTGAGGTGGGTATTTGTTTTTCTTTAATTCCTGCTAATTTACCGTATCGTAAATGGCCCAGCGTTTTTATGTTTTTCAAGTTAAGACAATACTTTTTTATTGAATTAGATGCACCACCAAGTAAGTATAAATCAATCGGTTAATATACTCGTAGGCGTCCACCTTGAGATATGAAGTGGTACTGATATTCTGATTCTTCTTACTTTTTTCCGCGTGAAAATCGGCTTCTTGTGATGCGATTCCAACGTTGGGCTTGCAAAATCTTCAATTAGACACACGTCATTTATTATGAAAAATAGTATTAGTTGGCATCAAACGAAGTTGTTTTATTTAGAGCTTTAATCAATATTAATAAATTTAAATGAAATGGCATTCCATTTGAAAGGAAATGAGATGAAATAAAAGAATGTTCCAAATAAAACGATAGAGATTTACTGAGACTTTAGTGAACATTTTGAAAAAATGCGAAATCCACACTTTTGTTCTTTCTCATATTATTATTATGCTAAACGGTTAATAACCCATTTGTTAATAAAGAAGAAAAACTAGATAAATTAATAAAACAATTAATATAATTGGCGATCTCACGGTTACCTACCAGCTCGTTAAGTAAACTAAAAAGTTTTTTTTTTAAAAGACATCTTTATCTTTTTGGGTATTTTGCAATACTCTTGCATAGATGAAATCTTCACTAACTACTATTTCAACAGATTGTGGAAAGCGGAGCGTCAATTGTAACGGGAAGGATCTATGCGAAGAAAAACGTAGGTCAAGATTACCGGGTGTTGCCCTTCCCGAAGGAAGAAACCGGACCTAATATCAAACACTTACTCACTAAGGACTTTTATAAGGAGTTGCGTCTGAGAGGCTATCAATATAGGTACGTCAATGTCATATCAATAAACTTATATATCGATGTAGGTAATATGAAAAAGGATTTTTCTACAATATGTAGCACAGGAAAATTAGATTTCAATTAATATAACATTAAAGACGAACTATCGTTTATTGAAGCAAATGTAGTTCTTGATATATTTGGACAAACAATATACGTTTTTGTGATGACGTGAATACGTATTTACGTGATTTTAAAGTTTATTTTTAATGTTCATAAGTCCAATAAATATTTTTTGGGTGTGAAATGTAATATATAATAAATGGATGTTTTCGGGTATATGTACTATAAAGCTCAGTATACTTAAATATAATACTGTTTTTGCTTAACACTAGGTGGGCTGTGAGCTCGTCCACCCATCTAAGCAATAAAAAAAAAACAATATGTTTCGTCTTGCTTATTACTCCATGGCCATAAAGGTCCTGGATTTAAAGTAATAATTTTGCTATTGTAATAATGATTAGTAACTTTATTTTACTACTTGATTTATGTTGTTCACTAGAATTCCTTTAAGTTGTACCTTGAGCGTCATCTCAGGAAATTGTTAAAAAACAAAACATCCTTACTGCAGTGGTCTCTTCCGCGGAGTTCTGGGCTGTAACGTAGAGGGGTCCCGTGGTCGACTAGCCTGGGTCAACAATTGGGTCACCTTTATGGACTGCATGCTCCAACTGAAGATCATAGGTCAGGACACACGGGGGCTGTTCGTACCCACAAGGATCGAGAAACTTTCCATTGACGCAAAAATGCATTATTACGCCATATCGAAGATGAATCCTGACGCCAATAGGCAATCCTTTGAAGTTCGCGTCTATAACGAAGTGGATGTTATAAGGTAGAAAATATACCTCAATAAATCTTGGAAATTTATTGTAGATAATTTAATTAAAATGAAAAAATTATCAAAAATTTCAGGGCAGGTGGAGTTGAAATTAGAGGTCTCAATGCAACTCCGATCACTAAAAGACTACCTTTGGGCGTACCTGTGCTGGAAAAGAATGAATTCATACCATTCAGCTCTAACACAAAGATGACCGTAAGTTTTTGGTTTATTAAATATTGTTTTAATTTAATCATTCTTGTTATTTTCTATCTAATGAAATTAAGCTAAACTTCTGATCTATTTCTGTAAATTATGTTTGCCCATTGAGTTTCTCGCCGGACCTTTTTAATGGGTCGCGATTCCGATCCGGTGGTAGATTCTGCGACGCACTGCTCTTGCTAGGCTTAGTGTTAGCAAATTCTCTCAAGTTGAGCCCTTGAGCTCATCTAACCGTCTGGACGTAGCCGGAATAGTCTATTAGGCTACCAGCGAATAGGTAGGCAAATAATGAAATTGTGTCATAGTCAAATGCATAACTACTAAAATCAGCAAGCCCTGAACTGTTTCCGTTTATTCTCAATAGTGAAGCCGCGTTATAAAATAGTCGATAAAATTAGGAACATTCAGAAAGTACTTGCAAAGGTCTATTTGATATCTACCGATCAATAATAAACAAATAAAATCTATAAATACTCAGCTGTCGCATTCATGAAATATCACCACGAATTAAGCGATCTTTGAACTAAATATATTGAGGATTCCAGGTTGAGGATACTCTGAGATCAGACATTCAACTTATACTGGAAAACATTCAAACGTACAAAGTAAAAACCATCGAGTTAGTAGACGAAGAATACAAGAGCAACGCCCTGGAGCCATTAATAGAGAAGGTCGGAGAGTTGTTGGGAGATCTGCCTTTAGTACAAGCTGAGCTTCTTTTGATTTCTGAAGATCCTATTGAAATGCCGTCAAACGTTACAGTGGAGAACAAGAAATTGACCGGAGAAACGAATACCGTTATATTTATTGGGGCGAATCTGCTAGAGAGACCAGATGTAAGCAATCTCTAATCTATAAGTGGAATCAACGATATTTTAGGAGAATTAACTTTTGTACTCTGTCATCAGGTCCTTCGCCAAGCCATATCGACTCTTCGTGACAAATGTTTCATCATAAGTCGCGAGAAAAACCGCCCCGACTCTAAGACTTACGCCGATAAATACGATATCATCACTATACAAGACACGGGATCAGAATATTTAGTGCTCTTTAGAAAGAGGGTGGGGGCTAGACCAGCGAAATTCGTCAGAATAGTCACTGCAGATGATACCTTCTCTTGGATTGACAAAGTAAAAGAAGAATTAAAGGAAGGTCAAAAAATTGTGTTGTATAGTCAAGACGAACATATCAATGGATTATTGGGCTTGGTTAACTGCTTGAGGAAAGAGCCTGGTGGTGAGATCGTGTATGGTCTGTTGATTAATGATCCTTCAGCACCACCCTTCGATCCCGACCTTGAATTTTATGAAGAGCAACTGGACAAAGACTTGGCCATAAATGTTTATCAGGATGTAAGTAAATTTTGATTTCGTATTAGCTTTGAAAACTAAGCAAGTGTCTTGGCTCTTTAAATATTTATTTTTTACTTAATATTCCACTAATGGTTTTGGCTTTTATGATTTGTATTGAAATATGTTTTAGATAGCTAATTACATAATGCATTTTATAGTGGGCTAGGGTGCCTTAGTTATGTGCAAAATCGCGGTAAAAGACTAGATTTCAATAATGAATGTATAGTTTTTTTTAAATTTTACTTGAGTTTTTAGCTTTCTAGTCTATAATTTTAGATCTATTAATCTTGGGCTAGAAATAGCAGGCATCTGTTAAACTTATTCTTCACAAAATTTTGTGTTGCCTTTGTGGCTATCCGCCACAAAGGCAATAAAAATGCGAGACTAAGCTGTAAAAAATAGTTTGAATTATGAAATTTGATAATTTATATGTACTGTACATTCACTTAGATGCGTCTTATGAACAAAACCTTATTTTCCAGGGCCAATGGGGTACATACCGTCATCTTTTACTCGGTGATTTGGACACAGTAAAAGCTAAGCACGCCTACGTGAACACGATCACCATCGGTGACCTGTCCTCATTGAGATGGCTCGAAGGACCATTAAGACCGAACCACGTTTTCAATAACCCTGACGAAATACTCATAAACGTGAGTTATTTTTTTTATAACTACACAAATATACTATATATAGAACAAAGTCTTACTCTCAACATAAACACGCCGAATCTTATTATCTTATTTATATAACCGTACTGTTCAGAAAAAAGAGGTAATGGTGAGCATATCAAATTGAAATATTTGACCACCCAATAATTTTGTAGTGGATTTATTGAACTTGCTACAATAAAACATTTTACTTTCGTTTCTTCATTATTTAAGGACCATGTTAAAAGTCTCGGATGTATTGTATTAGAGGTATCACACCCTTCATACTGGAATGGATTACTGCTACGCGGCAGAAAAGGGGGTGTTGGGGTACCCAACTTCTTTAGTGTACAAATTTTTGAAGAGTAATTTAAAAAAAACTATAATGATTGTGTTTTATTTGTTCGTGATGTTGCTCTTGCTTTTGAGTCATTTTTAACATTTCAAGGAAGATATATTTTATGTCATAGCATCATTAGCTTAGGTTAGGTTGTGCTGGAGTACTTTAACAAAGCACAGGTTTTTTATATATTTAGCGATGCTGTGGCTGGATATCCTTAATCTGTAATTGGACCACTTGTGAGTCCGCGCGGGTAGATACCACCACCCCGCCTATTTCTGCCGTGAAGCAGTAATGCGTTTCGGTTTGAAGGGTGGGGCAGCCGTTGTAACTATACTTGAGAGAACTTATATCTCAAGGTTTACGTTGTAGATGTCTATGGGCCCCAGTAACCACTTAACACCAGGTGGACTGTGAGCTCGTTCACCCATCTAAGCAATAAATAAATAAAAATTAATCTGTAATTATCATATGATCCTTTTTTTTTGTTAGGTGTACTGTACAGCTCTGAATTTCCGTGACATAATGACGGCGACAGGTCGTGTTACTGTTGACGCTGTGGCCAGTGGGCGACTTGCACAGGAGTGCGTGCAAGGATTCGAAGTTGTCGGACGGACGGCTAAGTATGTGCCTATATCCTTAAACTAACCCTATATCGTCTTCTCGCATTAAAACTGTATAATCTCAAAACTTACTAATTCTATAGGAGAGCGTTTTAAAGGTTTAATTAACATGTGATATTTTTAATATTAATCATCTTTGCAACATTTATTTTTATTTTTTACCAGTTAAAATTAAATTATCTGTCTATTAAAGTGAAATAAAATTATGTATTAATTTTGTTAATAGTAGTCAAAACATAGGTAAGCTAAAAAAAAAAACTAAAACTAAACTACGCTCTTTTGACAGTATTTATGAGAAAAATACTGGTGATACCAAATGGTTCCGCATATTAACTCAATTTCGAATATTTTAGGAAGTTGTCCACTTTTAAACCGAAAAGACGATATTATGTGTAACAAACACGACTTTTACGATTTAACTGCGCGTTTTTTGTCTGTCATTATGTTCTTTCCAACTTTTCGAATATATTATTAACGTGCTAACTGTCAGCACAATATTCAAATGTCGTCGAGTAACATTAGTCATCTACTAACCTAAAAAAATATGAAGCTATGAACCGTACAAATAGGTTTAATTATGTCTACCACTTGCAAAAACCGATGAAAATACTCTATATATAACGGCCGTCTGGTTTAGTGGTAAGGGACATGGTCACTACATAAGGGGGTCGCGGGTTCGAATCCCGCCAAGGGAAGATATTTGTATGATAAATATAAAATGTCTTTTCCAGAGTTATGGATGTATATTAAATATATGTATGTGTTTAATAAAAATCTTAATTTTTTTTCCGTTATCTGGTACCTGTAACACAAGTTCTTTACAAACTTATCACGGGACCAGTTAACGTGGCGTGATTATTAGTAAATATTTATTTATTATCTATTTATATATATAAACTTTTTTCATTCAAAACAACAGACACTTTGATTATTGTATTGTATCGTTAGGCCAGTTCATCTGGTCTTTTAGTGAATAGTAATCAAAACATGAAGGTCACCTATCAACATTAGGTCGATTTTTTTGCTTAATTATTGCTCATAACCTCGAGGTGTTATGTTCCCTGGACGTGTAGTGGAGCTCATGGGGCTCAGCCTGGGACTCTGCTAACATCTAGCCTAGCAAGAGCAGTTCTACGCTGAATCTACCACCGGATCGGAATCGCGAATGACTCTCAAACTCCGGCGACATTAGGCCGGCGACATTTAAGTCTTAATTGTATTGTATAAGGCTGTTCCGCCCTTTTAAACTCCAAAACATTACCGCTTCGTGGCGAGACCGCGAAATTCATTTGAACCATAAAGATTGTATAGCCCTCGTTTGAAATCACATGCTTTAAATCAGCATAGGAATCAGTGAGGATATTCATAAACGAACGCGCGAGCGCATTAGAGCAGGACAATTGGAATGTAATCGTACTCACCGAAATCGGAAAAGAGTTCGACGTGCAACCTAACCTAAACGTCAGCCCGCTAGTTTCTCGCTGGATCTTTTCAGCGGGTCGCGATTCCGATCCGGTAGTAGATTCCTTCGCGAACCAACTGCTCTTGAGTTGTTAGGTCTCCTTTGGAGGCGCTTGGGCAGCTGTTAGCTAATCCCACCCCTCCTGGCTGAGCCTTTGCTCGCCCACCTGACCTGGTGAAACCGGAAAGGCCTCCGAGCAACTAGTAATTCTTCCTTTATAAAAAAAAGAAAATTGTAGCAATTAATTGAAATAAGCCAAATAAAATATCGTTACGCCTTAGAAAAGACGAATTCTGAAATGAGATCAAGATGGACTTTGATTGATTTTGTCTTATTACCTCAACAGCGGTTCCCGGGTGATGGGCATGATCCGTAATAAGGGATTGTCGAATTTGGCTGCCGGTGATAAGGCCTTGCTCTGGAGCATCCCAGACGAGTGGACATTCGAGGAAGCTGCCACAATACCCGTCGCTTACGGAACGGTTTATTATGCAATGGTGGGTAACCTTATAGAAAATCTTTGTTCATTTATCCCAGAGTACAGATATGGGTACAATAACATCCGACTGGCATATAAATAAAAACTTTTAATAAACTATAAGGATGAAGGGACTTGCGGATTACATTTTGAGTTGTTACCAGAATCCAGAAATTCGAGACATTAATTACGTTCGAATCCCAATTTTATTGCTTAATTGAAAAAAAAGAAAAACAACACAAAAGTGTAAATATAAATAACAAAATTTTACCATTCACATTCCCACTTTTCACTGCTACACTAGAGCTTAATAAATACAATCCCTATTTATCCAGAACTAACTAGTTTATAAAAAGATACAGTCCACTGCAAAGTTTAATAGCACGTAGTAATTTTTAGGTAAACCAATCATATCTGTAACAATTTCTCTGGATTTATTTGGTATGGACAAACCATTTCGATTTCGATGTTGCATTCATATTAATTGTATTTTTCAGTTTTCCTGTTCCAATTTTTTTTTTTATCCCACGCAGTTGGTCTGTAGTGATTCGCAATTTCATAGAATATTGGAGAGACCACAACCTCATACTATAAATTAAAAATATTTGTTTTTGCCGTTAATGGCAGATTAATGAACTATTTCCCTTGTGATATATATCGTTAACGTTACTCATGGAGGCTGCCAATGTCACTGACAAAGTCAGGCCGCTACAAAACAATCCATTTTAGGCTTTATCTGAACGTTCTGTAAACACAGTAAGGGGGATCTCATTCTCGAGTTGATGTAACACACTGTATATGTGTGCAGTATAAAAATGTAGGAAACTATAGTGGTGGGTGGTAACGCTTAAAAAAGACAGTTGCTGGGATCATCTCGAATAATCCATCAGAGCTATACTACTTACGACCCGTTGAATTTTGAGCTTTTAAGCAACTTTCGTTTTCATCAAGGTCATGGTCGCTCAAATCAAACGCGGCGAGTCAATCCTCATCCACGCCGGATCTGGTGGAGTGGGTCAAGCAGCCATCAGCGTTGCGCTTCATTACGGCTGCGAGGTCTTCACCACCGTCGGTACCGCGGAGAAGAGGGCTTTCATCAAAAAGCTCTTCCCAGCACTCAAAGGTACTTTCAACACTTTATAAATCCCGGCGCATAAGTTTCACAACGGGATATGATTTCAGATAGAAATATCAATATTAAAATGGTCTTAGTATTGTTTTTAGTTTCCATGAATGACGGTGATTGTTATAAGCTCTACAGTAAGCTCGTCATGTGAAGACAATCAAATACTAATATAAATAAGATTTTAGCTTTAGAATTTTCCTGAAGATTCGAGCAATCATGTTTAACCACTAAGTAAACTTACTGCTGTTTTAGCGTCTTTTGAGCTAATGCCAGTTTGTAGTACTACTCTGACTATTTCTGCTGTCAAGCAGTAATCCATTCCTGTTTGAAGGGTGTGATGACCTTTAGATTATACAACTGAAAGTTAAACTGATGTCCTAGGACTAAGGACCTGCTTAGGGGCCTTGCGATGTCTACGGTTTTCGGTACTCACTTAACAACAAGCGCGGGTCGTGAAATGATATAATCTTAGAGAATAGCAAAATGGAAAGGATGAACTGGATATTTCTGCCTGTTTCTGCCGTGAAGCATTAATGCGTTTCGGTTTGAATTGTGGAGCAACCGTTGTACTGTAAGACTGAGATTTGCAACTCATGTCTCAAGGTGTGTGGCGGCATTTACGTTGTAGATGTCTATGGGCTCCAGTAACCACTTAACACCAGGTGGGCTGTGAGCTCGTCCACCCACCTAAGCAATAAAAAAACAAAAAATAGTCTGAAAACTAGTTAAGCTGCTTGTGACCCCTAATCTGCGAACATATTATTTTTGAAAGAATTAATGCTCTGCGCAACTAATTCCTCTTAGATCTGACTTAATAGGAATCGAAAAGAATTTAGTAAAGATAATTTTTTATTACAATCTCAAACAGATAGCCACATAGGAAATTCCCGTGACATTACCTTCGAAGACATGGTTCGTAGAGAAACGAACGGAAAAGGTGTCGACATTGTCCTCAACTCATTGTCGGACGAGAAATTACAATTAATCTTGTGTTTCTTGGTTTTTTTTGGTGAATCTCCTTATATTAAGCTATTTATATCAACTGAACTCGTTCTACAAGTTCTCATTTCATTTATTTTTCACTCTTGCACAGCATTTCTTATGTGACTTACCTTTTAGGACCTTTACTGGTGGTAGGACCTCTTGTGAATTTACTGGTTGTAGGACCTTTTGTGAGTCCGCACGGGTAGGTACCACCACCCCGTCTATTTCTGCATGTTTTAAAGGTGGGGCAGCCGTTGTAACTATACTGAGACCTTAGAACTGGTTACTGGAGCCCATAGACATCTACGACGTAAATGCGCCACCCACCTTGAGATATAAGTTCTAAGGTCTCAAGTATAATTACGACGGCTGCCCCGCCCTTCAAACCGAAACGCATTACTGCTTCACGGCAGAAATAGGCAGCGTGGTGGTAGTACCTACCCAGCAGTAAACTTCACCAATTCAGATATTCATATTACATTCTCGTTTCACAGGCCTCAGTAAGATGTCTGACGTACAGAGGTCGTTTCCTGGAAATCGGAAAGTTTGATATCAGTAACAACACGCCTATCGGGATGTACTTCTTCTTGAAGGAGACTTCCTTCCACGGTATTATGTTGGATTATATATTCGATCAGAGCGACGAGTTCAGAAGGGTATGTATTATTGCACTCCGTTTTTTGGGTTCGCTACCCTCAGACACAGCCCACTGAGTTTCTCGCCGGATCTTCTCAGTGGGTCGCGTTTCCGATCCGGTGGTAGATTCTGCGAAGCACGGCTCTTGCTAGGGTTCGTGCTAGCAACGTCGTCAGGTTTGAGCCCCGTGAGCTCACCTACTAGTTAAGGTTCCGCTGAAATAGCCTCTCAAGGCTATCGACTTAGGTAGGAAAAAAAATGGGTTCGCTGTTTATAACCTTTAGTTTACATGAGATCTGAAAAAAACGAAAACTATTCTAACAGACTACTATAATTAAAATAACCGCAGCCTAGCCACACACGGACACTTGTCCCCAAACTAGGATTCCCTGTATAATGGGATCCGGCGACTGATATAATAATGAAATACATAAAATAAATAACTTTATATATAACTAGCCGTACTCGCCCACTTCGCTAGGCATTTCAAATTAACATTATTATTTATTGTCATTATTATAATTATTAGGGAGTCCAATACTCATATAAATATTAGCCTATCCATTAAGTTCATGTATTTTCTACATGGATACCAAGTTTCAAGTCAATCGGACGCATGGTTCAGTAGTTATAACGGAACATCCGTAAAAACCACTTTAGATTTATATATTAGTATAGATTGATTAATATATTTATCAGATATAAATATTAATATATTTGTATGCGGCTATACTATGTTGTAGGCAGTGGCTTGGCTCTGCCCCTGGCATTGCTGATGTCCATGAGCGACGGAACCGAATCAAATCAAATCATTTTTTTTTATTCAATATAAATGTATACACAAGTACATACTTGTTGAACGTCAAAAAGAACTACCGCCAATTCACAAAAACTAGCCTCTGTCCAGAGAAGAACTGGCAAGAAAGTCAGCGGGCATGCCTTTTTTTTTAAATCTTAGATTTTTAGAGTTTTGTTACAAGAGGTACAATCGTCGCCTACAAAGGAAATAAGNAATCAAATCATTTTTTTTTATTCAATATAAATGTATACACAAGTACATACTTGTTGAACGTCAAAAAGAACTACCGCCAATTCACAAAAACTAGCCTCTGTCCAGAGAAGAACTGGCAAGAAAGTCAGCGGGCATGCCTTTTTTTTTAAATCTTAGATTTTTAGAGTTTTGTTACAAGAGGTACAATCGTCGCCTACAAAGGAAATAAGAAAAAAAAATTTCAATACTCTAGTGTTTTTCGCTTAACAGGGCTTGCAAGATCTCCTTCTAAGCGGGATCATAAATGGCGCGGTCCGTCCTCTGACATATTGTACGTTCGAGAAGAATGAAGTTGAAACCGCCTTCCGTTATATGGCCGCAGGAAAACATATTGGCAAGGTTAGAAAACGACAAACATAACCATACATAATTTACTACTTGATATCTCGCTTTTTGCTTTCAGTCTCACACAGTGAAAGGTTAAACCTTTGAGGTCCAGTGTCCAAACGTATTGGACATATAAGATAACATTGGACCACAAAGGGTTCATTTTCTTCTGCATCTAACTTGGCTGTATTTCTACTATGCTTTTAGTTTTCCTTCCAACGCTCTACGAGGTCTTTTATTTTTATGCCTGTTTTTTTACAATGGCCCTCTGAATATCCACTTGGTACCTAATTAATATATTTCGAACAACATAGAAATCGATCCAATTAATTAGTTTCCAAGATAGTATAGATTGAGGCATAACGATAGTTAATTACAAACACAAGCATCAGTGATCAGTAATGGAGGTGAAATAAATATCCTTTGCAATCGATCGAGTCCTATTCCGGGATTGAAATCCTACGGCGGATACAAATGGATATAATTAAAAATGCATCAGAAAGTATACTTTTGTTTTCGAACAGGTAATTGTCAAAATACGCGACGAAGAACCAAGAGAGGAGGGACCAGTAAGACCAACGATAATTCCTGTGGATGCCCTTCCGAGGTATTTATTATTAGATAGCTAATTTCCGGCATTTATATGAAAAACCTGTTGTCGTAAATATTTTTCCCTTTTATGCATAAATTTTCCAAATGAAAATACTTAAAGGCATCAAGTTGAACTGCAATCCCTTTTTTAGTTACTATCTTAAATATATGTCGGAGAAACCGCATTATTAAGATCGCCCCTATGGGTAGCTAGGGTGATCGTGTTAATAGAAATATTGAGTACACAAAACACCTTTGTTATCTTAGAACAATTTAGAAATCTTCTCTTAACGTTACCAAACGAAAACGAATGACAGTTCTTAGGATGGAGGCCCTGCTCTTCAAGAAGGCTGGTTCGTAAGTGAAATGGCGTCTATGCGTGCCTCCATCGGCTAGGCTCTGTCGTAGCACGAAGTTAGCCAAGCTCCGACGACATTGCGATCGTGTGTTATCATTTCTCAGTAATCGTTTTGCTACCAAGCTAATGACCGTCTCCAACATAATTATACCTGTTTAAATGTATGTAGCTGACATTTAACAAAACTATTTGAGTGGGAAATGCTTTCCACTACTCTGCTAATTTCTACCGCTATAAAGTCTTCTATTCCGGTCTTCCATGGCACTGAGAGCGATTGGGGATTCAAATAAAAATTGAATTAATTCGATCTTAGGATAGACAGTGGCATTTAAGCTATGGCACATAGGTACATTCAGCACATCTAACTTAATCATCCTGTGTCTTTTAGTTGATCCAAACTTTTGTAGGTGCTCCTTCCGTGTCAAGTTTGTATTTGGGTGTTTGTAACTTTGTACATGCGTGTTCCTATCACGCATCTCAGAAAAAATTCTTACCTTACGGGCAATTGAACTTGGTTTTTTTTTCTATTATTATCCAAATAATGGAATTTCTTTCAAAAGGTACATTTGCAACGAGAACAATGTCTACGTAGTGGTCGGGGGACTTGGTGGCTTTGGCCTGGAGCTAGCAGACTGGCTCATTCTCAGAGGAGCCAGGAAGCTAGTACTGAACTCCAGAAGAGGACTCAGCAATGGATACCAATCCTCAAGACTTAGGTTGGTTCGGGATTTTTTAATTAAAACATTATTAGAAATGTCTTAAGCAATTCTATTCAGAAAAATGTGGAGGGACTACGGTAAAGAACATCCCATATATGAAAAAAATTAATATTCAAATTCAAAAATTCATTCTAGGTTTAATCTGCACGTTCATTCAATGTGAAATGCGTTATTGAAGATCGATGCCTTTCACTTCTACTTACACTATTTTCTTCCAGAGCATGGACTTCTTATGGTGCTGAAATCCACATCTCCACTCATGACATTACAACCTACACTGGCTGCGAAGACATGATCAAAATGGCCAACGCGCTAGGGCACGTGGACGCAATCTTCAATCTCGCTGTCGTACTCAAAGACTCAATCTTCCAGAACCAAACTCCTGAAACTTTTAAGACCTCGTTTGGACCTAAGGCCATTGCCACAATGCACCTAGACAAAGTCACCCAGAAGCTTTGTCCCGGTCTGAAGTAAGTTATTGTTTTAGAACCAACGAATGCGAGATATTATGAGAGAAATAAAATGATGCTCCTAACCAAATTGCCCAATAACAATAAATCTATAATAATATTATAAAGCTGAAGAGTTTGTTTGTTTGAGCGCGCTAATCTCAGAACTACTGATCCGATTTGAAAAATTCATTCAGTGTTAGATAGCCCATTTATCGAGGAAGGAATATAGACTATATAACATCACGCTAAGACCAATGCAAGCGGAGCACCAATAAAGAATGTTTCAAAATCGGGCTTTTTTTCCCCTTTGAGAGCTTCCACTGCGTGCGCTGCGGAAACGGTTAAAAGTTTCGCTAAAGTAATGTATGAGAGAATTGTTCCCCTTTAAAAGATCTAAAAAAAAACTGCGACAGCATATGCCTATATATTAAGGTTGGGTGGTAAGAGGCGGGTAAAATTTAGCGTTATGCCAAAGTAACTATTCCACGCGGACGAAGTCGCCGACAAAAACTAGTACCTTATAATTTCATTCACGCCCCATCCTTTTTGGGAAGTATGTGGTTAGCGCATATCACAACGTGCGAGTGAATATCGCCACGGATTTTGAGACGTGACTCAACTGTAGGGTGGCTGAAACGCATGACCCCTACTCGACAGAAGAACACTTCTGGTTTGCCTGTATAACGTAACAAAAACAACCCCAGAATAATGGTTTAGAACAATGTTTTTATTAAGTTTTCCCTTATTATATTCTCAACATTAAAAACAGGAATCGTTCAGAAAATGAAGAAAAAAAAGACGTGTGGCACTCGGGGACTGCCGCGGTAAAGCTATTGCAAAGCATTTTTTATCAACTTATGCAATTACAATTAGACAATAATAATGTAATATTAAAACAATAATAAAAATAAGACCACGCTATATTTATAAACATTAACAAAAGCAAAACATTAACTGTCCTCTTCACACTCATAAGCTAGACCGCGTGAGAGAGAGATGGGCAGACTTTTCATGACGCTCATGCAGTGCGACGTCACGCCGCGCGGTTATTCACAAACACTACACCAGCGCAACGTGTGAATGTGTTGAACGCGAGCTACATAGTAGACGTAGTGGGGATGTCAGGTTATTTTCGTTACGGAATTTCTTGATTCAGTCGCCGCGCTCAAGGACTGCGATAGAAGCTATGCAATAGCTTAATAAATAAATAAACATTTCTTTAGGGACTTCGTTATCTTTTCATCCGTATCCTGTGGTCGTGGAAACGCTGGTCAAACCAATTATGGTATGTCCAACTCTGTCATGGAGAGAATCTGTGAGTCCAGAAAGAAAATCGGACTACCTGCTCTGGCGGTACAGTGGGGAGCCGTTGGAGATGTAAGTACATAATTAAGCTTTTTACTAAACTCACCAAACCGGAACCCGTAATTTATTCGCCACATAAAGCTGGCTAATAAGTAGCCACTAATATGACCTATCAAAAAACAATTTATCATTGGCATAAAAAAGAAAAAAAAAACTTCTATTACTTATATTATATTATTACTATAGAACTAAGGTAAAAAAGTAGCAATACTAACAACATATTATTATAATTATAATTAATTCTTATAAAATAATTGTAAATAGACATGGTTTAACAAAAACCGACTTCAAATAGAAAGAAAAAGATATTCCAAAACAAATTGATATACACTAAAAACAATAATCATCATATCGGTTGGCGTGATATTGAGTTATTCATCTATTTGTCGCGCACGTACTTAATGCAAATTTAAGACTTATATGGTTTTCTCATGGATACCATTATCAGAACTGGACTAAACTGAAATTAAATTGAATGACCACACGGGAAGCGTAAGCTTTTTAATAAAAAAAAGAATCATCATCATCGATTTTCCCAGTCAAAAGTTATGAGGTAACACACATAAAAAAAACACACAATCGAATTAAGAACCTCCTCCTTTTTTTGAAATCGGTTAAAATATATATATAAAATATTTATTGACAATTTTATGATTAACTAAATATTTTTTCCCTCATTCTTTTTTATATTTGCATTTGTAGGTCGGTTTAGTAGCAGATATGCAAGACGAAGACGTCCAGCTAGAGATCGGTGGAACTCTTCAACAAAGAATATCATCATGTCTCCTAGCCTTAGATAAATTCATGAAGCAGGACGCTCCTATAGTTTCATCCATTGTGGTTGCCGAGAAGAAGGCCGGCGGCACTGGATGTGGAAATATTGTGGATGCTGTTGCTCAGATAATGGGTAGGTTTTGAATTTTAAGTCATGTGAGATTTCTACACACGTTGCCCCAGTTGGGAGTAAAGAAATAGCGGCAATACCAACTCTTCAAACTCCGACATGTTATTTAATTCGCCGCAAAAATAAGCAAGACGGTTGTACCATGCCATGTGTATTAACCATAAGTATGTTATTACCCAGATAAATAGTTCAAAATAAGAATTATTAAGAAGAGAGAAAAAGTTAGGGATATTAAGTGTTTGGATATATGAAAGTAGATAGATTTGGCTGGGGTTTATTCTATCCATAAGGACAGTAAAAAATAATATGTTATTATAATTTTTCATGGCGATAAGGAACATTTACTAATACATTTGTTTAATTATTTGAAATCAGGTATAAAAGACTTGAAGACCGTATCACAGCAAGTGTCTTTGGCGGAGTTGGGTATGGACAGTATGATGGCAGTAGAAATCAAACAGACCTTAGAGAGAGAGTTCGAGATATTCTTAACCGCTCAAGACATTAGGACGCTTACATTCGCAAGGTAAACTTTTAAGATAAGATGAGAAATAATTTGAAATACAGTCATTTATAGATTTAAATTTTTATCTTATAAATTTTGCTCTAATACCTTTTGATGTGCGAATAAATAACAAAATGTTAGAATAATAACAGTTACGCAGAAATTTTTGATTTCTTTTATAAACATTTATCTGCGATTTAAATTTTAAAAAAATACTCATATTAAAAAATAGAATGATGAAATCTAAGAGAAAAAATTAAATATCACACCAATAGTAAATATCTACTTTTCCCAAGGCTATTTCGCAATTATTTATCCATTTTATGACTTTTATCCTATTCCCATTTAGTAGCTTGGAAAAGTTTACTGGCCCAAGAATTGAATCCCGACAAAAAAAATACGACCACAATATAACATTTTCGTTATTAGACAACGGACGCTTTTTCAACTTAATTATCCAGTTTGTTTATTGCTTGATAAGTGGACGAGTTCACGACACACCTGGTGTTAAGTAGTTACTGGAGCCCATAGAGATCTACAACGTAAATGCGCCACCCACCTTGAGATATATGTTTTAAGCTCTCAGTATAGTTACAACAGCTGCCCCGCCCTTTAAACCAAAACGCATTACTACTTCACGGCAGGATTAAGCGGGGTGGTGGTATCTACCCGTGCGGACTCACAAGAGGTCTTACCACCAGTAAATGACGTTTATGTGTAACTGCCCTAGCTTGTTTGGTCATGCAAAGCTACTTTTATTATCTTATAAATAATATAATTTCTCCAAAATCATCTTTACTATACAGATTGGTAGAACTGACAGCTCAGCGTGAAGCAGCGGCATCGACATCAGCAGCAAGACCTATAACGGTCGAAGGAGCTGCTGGTTTCCGAGTTTTGTTGAGGAACTTCGGAGACGAGAACTTGGCATCCGAACCACTGATTTACATGCCGACTTTGCTGTCTGATGGAGTTGAGGTAAGTAATTCAAATCAGTAACACAATTAATTTGGAGAAACTTTGAGAATTATTTCGGTAACAACAAAAATAATTATTAGACCAAATTCATCTCAAAACCAATAGTCTGTATTGTCGGAGTCATAGCCTTAGCATAGTCATAGCCTTCACAAACTAATGGACAAAGTTATGTAAGTGCTGTGTTAGCGCATAAGCGGACAACTGATAAGGAAGGCAGCCAGTGGCATACTAATATTAATTTCAAATTAGCTGACCCGGCAGATCCCGTAGTGGCACAATCGATAAATAAAAGACCTAAACTTTTTTATAAAATTAAACTTAAAACAAACAAAAGGAATCCGTCCGATGCGGGATTTTTATTTAATTCCGAGGATTTTCATAATTTATCTACCTTTTAAACCTTCTCTGGACTTCCACAAATAATTCAAGACCAAAATTAGGCAAATCGGTCCAGCCGTTCTCGAGTTTTAGCGAGACTAACGAACAGCAATTCGTTTTTATATATATAGATAGATATAACATTTCCTCCCTTAACAGCGTAATACCTATATACCTATATATAGGTACTATTCAGTAACAAAATTACAGTCTATAATACATTTAGTAAAACTATCAATAATTAACCCTAGGACGGTTACGTAGAAGAACCTTGGGCTCCCTAATATTCTGAGAGGTTAGGGTTGCTGCAAGCTAAGGAGCACGGGTACCGCCAGGCTGTCCAATTTTATTGAGTCATGCGTTCAATAGACGTTTCAGTCTCAAGGGCTATAGCCGTAACAATATAGCTCATTCCCGAAACTATATAATAAGTTAAAACTAATCAACACAAGTGGCCATACCAACTTAACAAATGAACCTATATTGAATATAGGGCGAAGAGGTAATTCAAGCGACAGAGCGTGTGATGTTCATGGTACCGGGCTTAGAAGGTTGTGCTGCTGTCCTCGAACCGCTGTGTCGTAGATTAAAGACAAAGGTCTGCGTTTTGCAACTCGGAGTCGAACATAAAAACGAAAATTTGGAACAGATGGTGGACCGCCTTTACCAGGTGAGCACTAATTGCATGATATTTTTAAATGACTCATACGCGTTTTATCGCTAAGTTCTTGTTCGTTAATTGGTCATTAGTAAGAAATAGATTTTAAGTCATAAAAGGTAATCGCTGACCATACAATTTTAGGTCTTTTCACGTACTCATTGCTATTTACTCACTGCGCGAAACAAAAGCTTATGTACGCTATAACTAATGTCGAACGGTCAATTCTGAAATTACGTTCGAATCGAACAGTGAGGTGAATAAAAAAAATATGTCTATTAATTTAAATTCATTTCTTATTTTCTTCGTAGACTGCTATTTCAAAAATAACACCGGGAACTCCATTCTGGCTTCTTGGATATAGTTTTGGATCATTGTTGACTTTGGAGCTAGCTGCCAGATTGGAGAGAGAAGGTACGTTAAACTATAATACATTTTAATTGCGACCAAATAATTAATTGTTTGTTAGCCAAGCTATTGCTGTCTAGAAACGATCAAGAGAGGTGGTGGTGAGACTGACCACTTGCAGTTTCGTGACGTAATTGTTTATTCGTCATGAATCCACCTAGAGGGTTTTTTTTTTCTTCTAATCAACTACTTAACGTTTGCTCATTAATGATTTGAGAATAGTGTAATAGAATCACGGGGAGGGGCCACAATGCTGCCCATTTCTGCCAAGAAGCAGTCGTGGATTTCGGTTAGTAGGGTTAGCCAGCCTTTATCATAAGCTCTGGGAATTTCACAGTCCAATCATAAAGCTGGTGACCCTAAAAATAAATATTGTAAATACCTTATTTTTTGGATAAGGCAAGATGAAAAATATTTTTTAGTCGAACGATTGGACCTTAATTAACTCGACTAGGATCCAAAATTAGGAGACCCAATGCATAAAACTACCATTTAACTCTATCGAATTTTAGGCTACCACGGTGTGGTGTTCTGCTTGGACGGCGCTCCGGAGTTCCTTCACGCGATCCTCACCATGACCATCAGTTTCAAAAACGACTTCCAACTCCAGAACAGCCTCATCTGCCACACGATAGACATCGTGGCCCCGAACAACACAATCGGGAAAGAGCTAATGGAAAAACTGAACGAATATGAATCTTACGAGGAAAGAGTTGAGGTCGCTATTAAAATGTCTCCCATACAAACTAAATATTCAGACAAATTCATCGGTGCCATAGCTGCGGCGAGTTACGACCGTCTCAAAGTAGTCCTAAACTATAATACGAAGACTGTGAACAAATTGAAATCGCCGATAGTTCTTATGCGTCCGAAAGAGAATCCTCCTAACGTTACATGTGAGGACAACTATAGCTTGGATAAATTTTCTGATAATTTAACAGTGCATTTCTTGGAAGGTAACCACGTTAGTATAATTGAGAACAAAGATTGCGCTAATATCATAAACAGAATGTTGGCTGAACGCGATGAAAAAACGGGCAAAGTGAGTGATAATGTTGTAACTAACATGTTAGAAAATCAAAGAGAGGTTAAAGTTTAAGTGTCTATTTATGTGTGTTCCCTTAATTTAATTTTATTTAAATCAATACGATTGCTTTTATTTTGGGGCTTGGAGGTTCTTGTTTTTGTTGTGACGCGATTTGCATTTCATTGTAATGAGAATGTGACAAATCTCCGTGAAGCAAAATCAATTTAATTTAAATACGAACAAAGTTGGTTTTCTTTCAACCAAATAAATTTAATATTTTTAAGAACAAGTTTCACCTCTGCAGACAATGGGTATTACGTATAAGTGCTCACATCTTTTTATAAGTTTTAAATGTTTTAACTATTTGCCAAAGGTTTTTTGTAAGGGTAGGAATTTAGTTAATTTAAATAATCTTATCAGGGTTATTTTAATAAATGTAGTGGCCGTATCTTAAGTAATTTAATTGTAAGTACTAGTTATGTTAATTTTAAGATTCTCTATAATGACCAGTACCAAACAAAATATTCATTAAGCTATGAGTTGTAAGCTTTTAGGTTTTTAATAGTCGTTGGGTAAGGGTTTGTTAGGTGTTTTAATTATTGTAATTTATATTATTTAATTTTGGTGGGCAATTAATTGGGGAGAAGGCATTTTAAAATATGCTTTCGTGTGAATGTTTTAATAACATAAGGATAGTATAAAATGGTGATGTAAATCGGATGAATAAAGTTTGTGAGAATTTTTGAGCGGCTTTTATTATTATCGATCAACCTTTTGTCTGAATATGAACTATTTTATAATTTAAATGGTACGGAAGAGTCGATGATTTCGTGACCCATCTGGCATTGGCCGGCAGACGCGCATGGCCCTTCTTATGATAAGTGGTTACCGTCGCTCATGCCGTCAGCAATGCCAGTGTCAGAGCCAAGCCGCTGCCTGCCTCAAAGTAGCATACTTATTACTGGAACCCATAACCCACACGAGCCTCAAATATATTGTACAATGGCTGTCGCACCCAAATTGGTAATGGCAATTTATGAACATCTCTTCAAATAGGACTTACCCAAAAATTCATTAGTGGTAAACAGTGACTTGATGTCTATGATCGACATGTGGCGATAGCCGTCTTAAATGACAAGATATTTTGATAGACACCTGAATCTCGTTAATGACAATTTCAAGATATGCTTGCATATATGAGACAGTTAGCGCAAAAGTGGTCTAACCCACAATTCATATTTATGCTTATGTATTGCAATTTATTTAAAACATAATAAATTTTGATGCAAAATCGGCCTATCCCTAATTTCAATCCATAGACAACAGATGACTTTGTAAACATCATTTTAGCGCGTATTTTTTTGTTTACGAAGTATTGTAAAGGTAAATTCGAATCTCATTATCACCATACTAACTATGGTAAGCTTAGGCCACCTTTGCGCTGACGGCCTCATTTACAAGTTCCGAACAGCAACATTTGGATCGTCTCGGTCTACTAAGCAATCTCACTCGCTCGGCTGAAGATCTTCCCCTTTTCGTTAACGCCCAAAGACAGGGATTCACAATCAGTTGGGAAAGATGCTCATCTATATCTATATCGATAATCTATATGTAGGATTGCTAAGAACGGAACGTATAAAAAGAGTGTGGAACGGAGCGTTAAGATGTGAGTGAGAGAAAACGGAAAGAAAGGGAGAAGAGAATGATAGAGAAAAGGAAGATGGCGAAGACGGTTGAAAATTGAGCAAGACGTAATTAAAGTGTTAATTATTAATTATTATTTTATTAGAAGTTTTGGAACAGTTGAAGTTTTATTTTATGCGCTGCGATCCCTATTTTATATATATACTTAGTCTGGCCATAAATACTGTTACAATTAAAAATAAACAAAATATTACATTTGAATTTGGAATCTGTCATTTTTATATGATTGCTCATTGAGTTTTCTCATTTTGGCGCCAATCAATATATTGTACAATATTTTGCGATATTAAAATGGAGTGGGGTGATAAAGAGAACCGAATCGCTGTGATTGCATTACACAAAGTAGGTATGGAGCCAAATGCAATTTTCAAAACTCTCCATACGCTTGGTATTAGTAAAATGTTTGTGTACCGGGCTATTAATAGGTGCAATGAGACCTCCTCTGTTTGTGACGGAAAAATGTCTGGCCGTCCACGTAGTGTTCGTACGAAAAAGGTGGTCAAAGCAGTAAGGGAAAAAATTCGAAGAAATCCTGTCCGAAAGCAAAAGATTTTATCTCGGGAGATGAAAATAGCACCTAGAACCAGTCGCGTATTTTAAAAGATGACTTAGGACTTGCAGCCTATAAGAGACGTACTGGTCATTTCTTAACTGATAATTTAAAAGAGAATAGGGTGGTAAAATCGAAACAACTACTGAAGCGGTACGCAAAGGGAAGTCATAGAATTTTTTTGTTTACGGATGAGATAATTTTTACAATTGAGCAACATTTTAACAAACAAAATGACCGTATTTATGCTCAAAGTTCTAAGAAAGCTTTCCAATTAGTCGACAGAGTGCAACGTGGGCACTATCCGACTTCAGTGATGGTTTGGTAGGGTATTAGCTATGAAGGAGTGACTGAGCCATACTTTTGTGAAAAACACACTAGTGTATCAAGATACCATTCTTGAGAAGGTAGTGAAGCCCCTTAACAACACCATGTTCAATAATCAAGAATGGTCCTTCCAGCAAGACTCGGCGCCAGGTCATAAAGCTCGGTCTACGCAGTCTTGGTTGGAAACGAACGTTTCGGACTTCATCAGAGCTGAAGACTGGCCGTCGTCTAGTCCCGATGTTAATCCGCTGGATTACGATTTATGGTCAGTTTTAGAGAGTACGGCTTGCTCTAAGCGCCATGATAATTTGGAGTCCCTAAAACAATCTGTACGATTGGCAGTGAAAAATTTTCCCATGGAAAGAGTGCGTGCTTCTATTGATAACTGGCCTCAACGTTTAAAGGACTATATTGCAGCCAATGGAGACCACTTCGAATAAGCTTTTTAAATTGTTTTATATTTATTTATTAAACTAACACACTGTAAAAGTAATAAATGCTATTTGCAATAGAATTTTTTTTTCTTTGTCTCAGTAGTTGTGGCAAGACTAGGTATTGTACAATGTATTAGCGCCAAAATGAGAAAACTCAATGAGCAATCATATAAAAATGACAGATTCCAAATTCAAATGTAATATTTGTTTATTTTTAATTGTAACAGTATTTATGGCCAGACTAAGTATGTATATCTATAACATATATACCTATCAACAATCACAATATCAGTAACATTCTCCAGTTCCGATGCTAGACTATCTTACCGGAATCCGATCTCGATTTCTGAGCGTACACGAACAAACAGTACTGGCAACATTAAACGAAAACGTCACAAATGTGTTGTAATTTCCGCTAATGCCAGAATCTGATGAGCCAATTCCGAAATTTATGTTGGCAATATTCTACTCACACGCCTTTGTCTTTGGAATTCTCGTAGGAAATGAGAATTTGAATGTTAGACATAATTTAAGGGAAGTAAATGTTGTTTAATTATTTAGTTCTTTTTCTCTCTATTAAGTGGGTGTTCTGATCAGTACTACAGTAGGAGCTGAAGCAAGTCCTTTTACAGAAACTGACGGTTATTATTGAGCATGAGAGCGAAGAGTTAATTGCATAAATATTGTAAAAATTTGCACGATATTATTACCAAAGTAAAGATTCATCTAACGCCTATTTTTTTTATCATCTATCTACAAAGTAAATGCCCCACACACTTTGAGATATAAGTTAAAAAGTCTCAGTATAGTTACAACGGCTGCCCCACCCTTCAAACCGAAACGCATTACTGCTTGACGGCAGAAATAGGCGGGGTGGTGGTACCTACCCGTGCGGACTCACAAGAGGTTCTACCACTAGTAACTACTAGTAAAGGGAATCGGGATATGACAAGGTAAGGAGGCATTGTACCATAGGCACTTAGCTCTGTAATGTTCTAACCTACATCCATATCCATTGTACCTGCTGTTACCGGTAACCATGAACAACAAAAACCTGTATCCAATATATTTTTTTTTGTAAGCCTTTATTGCTGATACTAAACAACGATATTTACACATAGTAGCAAATTGTTTTAACTTAAATCTAATCTAATACATCGGGTTTCCCGGTTCAGTGATCAGCGTGTCCTGTGACACATAGGCCTCTTCCAGCTGCTTCCATTCCTCTCTATTGCTAGCTTTTCTGGACCAAATTGTCCCTCCAATCATCTTTATATCATCTGTCCATCTTCTAGCTTGCCTACCTCTTTTTCTTTTGCCATCACGTGGCTGCCATTCTGTTATAATTTTAGTCCATATCATTCTGCTTTCCCTTGTCATATATGGACTTCCGGTTGGACCGTTGGATAGTACAAATGTATCCAATATACGCATACCCAAATAAAAAAATAAAAAAAGTGTGTGTGTGTGTGTGTGTGTGTGCAAGTCACACACGGTAGAAGTGAAACTTATAAATAAGATATAGATATACTGCCTATCCCACTACACAGGAGCATACATATTATGGACCATGGTTAGTAGACGATAGTGGGGATGCTACGAATAGTCGCACAAATAGGAGACCGAGAACGTCTAATGTGTTCTATCTCATTCACTCGCCGGCTGAATCCTATACATTTATGTGTTGGTGTCTCTATGGACTTATTTTTTCGTTTCATCGAGTTTGAAATCACAACGATTCTAAAGAATACACTTCACTTCAAAAAAAAAAAAACATTATAGAGATTCACAAAATAATTACGTCGATTCCACACTGCTTTCCACAATTCCGGCCAAAATAAAGATTTCGAGGGGAAACGATTATTGGAAATAAATGATTCTGATAACTTAAAGGACAGGTCATTAATCATACGAACAAAAGCTTTTCAGATATTAAAAAAAAAAAAACGGTTATATATTTTGCTTTTGATGTTAAATTGAAAACGTTTAATGACATAATGCTTTCAGAATTCATCAATGAACGACAATTTATATCATTTAAATATTAACACGTAAAG